CCCCCCCCCCCCCCCCCCCCCCCCCCCCCCCCCCCCCGTCAAGAAATCCCTGGATCCGCGCATGGCTATACAAACATGAAGAGTAAAATACAATTTCATAACTTTAGATTCGATTTCAGCCGCTACAACGATCACGAATATTGTAGGAGAATATATTAGGAGAAGCTGAAGGCAGAGAAATAGTTGAAGTCAGAGGAGGATAATTATATTATGAAGGAAGAGGAGGAGGGGAGGGGAGAGGAGGAGGAGGGAGAGGAGAATGAGGATAAGGGCAGAGGAAGAGAGAAAGGCACGGGAGGAGAAGGTGGAGGGAGAGGGGTTGAATGCAGAGGAGGGGAAGAAGATGAAGGCAGAGGAGGAGATAAGAACAGAAGAGGAGATGGATGTAGTGAAATGAAGGCAGGGGGAGACGAAGGCAGAGAGGAGAAGAGAGGAAGGTAAAGGAGGAGGAAAGGCAGAGGAGGAGGAGGAGGGGGAGACGAAGGCATAGAAGGAGAGGAGGGCAGAGGAAGAGGAGGAGATGATCGATATCAGAGGAGAGGAAGGTACATAAAGAGGAGATGATATTTTAGCAAAAAGGAGATGAAGGCAGGGAAAGAGGAGAGGAGATGAGGGCAGTGGTGGAGGAGGAGATGAGGGCAGTGGAGGAGGAGTTGAAGGCAGAGGAGGAGGAGGAGGAAGAGATGAAGGCGGAGGAGGGTGATGTGAAGGCAGAGAAGGAGGTGAAAGATGAGAAGGCAGACTCTTAAAAATACATGGTCAAAAAATGACCACGTCGTGGTCGTTTTTTAAAGGTGCATGGTTGACTACCAAAATGTGGTCAAAAAATGACCACGTCCTGGTCGTTTTCGACCACGCATTTTAAGAGGAGGAGGAGGTGAATGCAGCCGAGGAGGAGATTACGAAGGCAGAGGAGGAGGAGATGAAGGCAGAGGATTGGAATGATGAAGCACTACAAGGCAAGGTGAAGATCAAGTTGAAGATGGAGAAGGATTCTGAAATGAAGGAGGATGTAATAGAGTTTGCTAAAAACCTTCTGGAATGAGATGTGGATGAAGAAGATGCACAAATGAAATGGAAGAGGTGTTGGTGGAGAAACAGAAGGCTCAAGACTTCAAAGAGGAGGGGAAGATAAGCGGAAAGGAAGAAGATGGAAGAAGATGGGAAAAACAAAAGTATTCGAGATAACAAAGATCAGGCTGTTGTAACTGGATGAAGACGTGCCCCTTTCATCAAACGGCGAAAGGAAAGAAAACAAAGAAGACAACAAAAGGGTGAGTATTATAGAGACAGAGGGGGGAGGGGGTAGATTATAAAGAGAGAGAGAGAGAGAGAGAGAGAGAGAGTGAGAGGAGAGAGAGAGAGAGAGAGAGAAAGTGATAGGTGGAAATGAACATAAGAAGTTCCGTTTGGTATCATTCTGACATTTAGTAAAAACTTGTATCAGTTGTATTATGTAAAAGGTGATTATAGAATCATACAGACTAATTATGCAAGATTCCAAAATTACAACTTTGAAATCAATACATTTAATTGCGAACCCCTTTCAACTTTCTTGAATAAAAGCACGCAATGTTGTCCTTTTGAAACACTTACTGCGCTCAATTGTGACGTAATGGATGCTCCGTTGCGCATGCGTCATGATCCGCATAGTTACAAAGTTACCTTTTTATCATTATTGATGTTAGCGCTTTAAAGCTATAACTTCGATTTAGTAGCATCTCTTCTGAATATATCAGAATATTTGTCTAATTGTCTTTGATTTGAATCTTTCATCATGAGTGACGAACGTAAGTCCTATCTAGAAAACACGTCGATATCATACAACTAGAATAATTTATTGCGATATGTTTTCTTCATGATTTAGGTTAAAAGTCGATATCATATTATGCAACGTCAAAATAATCTTGCGGTTTTTTTTAAATACAGACAGGGGTCTTTAGAAGACAAGCGTTAGTTTTAATAGACTCCTCCTTCTGTACGTTTCCTATACTATAAGTCTAAATCATTTAAATTGCTTCGATATTGTATAACACCATGATTGTAAAGTGTATACAAGTAAATTTTGGGGTATCACTTCTCATATTAATTTTTATGTATAAATTATTGTTACATTCTCATTAATGATGTTGTCATGTATTTAGAAAAATACAAAAACATATGTGGGAATTCAATAAGCTTTGCAACTTGGAATACAAAGACTGATGAAGAAATCAATTTTTCATTCATGTTCAAATTTGAAAATGTTCAAATTTCCAATTAAAGCGGATGTGGAAAATCGTTTTCATAATTAGTAAAGTCGTATTGAAATCCTTGAAACTAAAACAGTCGAAAGTCGCTTTTAATTTTGGATACAAAATATAATATCATACAGTGTCATTATATTGGTCTTCTCCAATTTGTTTTTATTATTCAGCAAATCGAGTAGTTCCTAGATTTCAGCACGAGTTGGCAGAGACTCTTGCCTTCAGTGAGTATGTCTATCTGAATGACATTCAGACAAACCAGATTAACGAGTTTGTCCAATATCTCCTAAAGAAAGGCGCAGAGCTGACGACTGATGAGGAGGAAATCATACAGGAGAAGGAAGCAAAATTTAATGAAGCGGTAGAATGCGAGGAGGAGTTGAAGGCAGAAGAGGAGGAGGAGCTGAAGGTAGAGGAGGAGGAGGAGTTGAATGCAGAGGAGGGAAAGGTGAAGGAGAAAAAGGCTGAGGAGCCTGAGGAGGAGATAACGGCAGAGGAGGAGGAGATGACGGCTGAGGAGGAGGAGGAGATGAAGACTGAGGAGGAGAAGGAGGGGATGACGACTGAGGAGGAGAAGGAGATGACGGCTGAGGAGGAGGATGATATAACGGCAGAGGAGGAGCTGAAGACAGAGAAGAAGGGGCTGATGTTAGACGAGGAGGGGGTGAAGGTAGAGGAGGAGGAGGAGATGAAGACTGAGGAGGAGGAGGAGGGGGTGACGACTGAGGAGGAGAAGGAGATGACGGCTGAGGAGGAGGATGAGATAACGGCAGAGGAGGAGCTGAAGACAGAGAAGAAGGGGCTGATGTTAGACGAGGAGGGGGTGAAGGTAGAGGATGAGGAGGAGGAGGAGGAGGAGATGAATGACATTCAGACAAACCAGATTAACGCGTTTGTCTTGTATCTCCAAGAGAAAGTTGCAGAGCTGACGACTGATGAGGAGGAAATCATACTGGAGAAGGAAGCAAATAAAGCGGTAGAACGGGAGGAGGAGCTGAAGGCAGAGGAGGAGGAGTTGAAGGCAGAGGAGGAGGAGGAGGATGATGATGAGTTGAAGGCAGAGGAGGAGGTGAAGAATGACATCCAGCCCAACCAGGTTAACGCGTTTGTCCAGTATCTCCAAGAGAAAGTTGCAGAGCTGACGACTGATGAGGAGGAAATCATACAGAAGAAGGATGCAAAGGAAGCGGTAGAATGGGAGGAGGAATTGAAGGTAAAGGAAGAGGGTCTGAAGGTCGAGGAGGAGAAGGAGGTGAAAGTAGAGGAGGAGGAAATGAAGGCAGAGGAGGAGGAGGAGATGGCGGCAGAGCAGGAGGAGATGAAATCAGAGGAGGAGGATTTTGAAGGCAGAGGAGGCGGAGATGATAAAGGCTGAGGAGGAGAAGATAAAGGCAGAAGAGGAGGAGACGAAGGCGGTGGAGGAGCAGGCAATCACTTTGGTTGCGGAGGCTAAGGTCACAGAGGAAGACAGAGAGCTAGAGGGCGAGAAGGTAGTGAAGCTGTCAGAAATGACGGAGGAGTTAAGAGAGTTTGCTGAAACCTTGTGGAACGAAACTCCGATGGAGAAGATGAAGATGAAGAAGGGGCAAATACAGAAGGATGAAAAGATCATTAACGAAATGAAAGAGGTTTTGGAGGGAATACGAGAGGCCAAAGACTTCAAAGAGAAGAGGAAGTTCAAGGTAAAGAATGAAGATAGGAAGAAGGAGAGTGATCAAGATAACAAAGATCAGGCTGTTGTAACTGGAAGAAGACGGAAATGGTGGCAACTTTTATGCTGTTTTGGTTGGAGGAGGCGCAGCAGGCGTTCTTAAGACTTAAATGGAGACTTATGTTATGATCATTGAAATTGTGAATAAAATTGTAAATAAATTGTACATATAAATTAACTTCCGAGAACTGTTTGACATATTTTGATTCACTATTGAAAGATGGGGAGTTGAAGAAACCAGCAAATACATAGAGAGAGAGAGAGAGAGAGAGAGAGAGAGAGAGAGAGCGAGAGAGGGGGGGGGGGGGGGGTTGATAGAGAGATATCTATACAAAGAGAAAGAACAGAAATGTGAGAGATAGATCGAATTAGATATGGCAATAAAAACAGGAAGACAGAGAGGAGAATAAAATGGGAAGACAAGAGAGCCACAGACAGAGACAGAGACAGAGTGAGTGAGAGAGAGAGAGAGAGAGAGAGAGGTGCTGTTGCCATTTACTTGGACCCATCAGCCAATCGATTTTTAGTGAAATGGCAATCAAAATAAATCATTAAAGAAAAAACAAGTAAACGAAATAAATAAGTGCGTAAGTGCCAAATAACCAGGGGCGGCGATCCCGGGGGGACGGGGGGACACGTCCCCTCGATTTTTTTAGGGGGGATCGTCCCCTCTCAAAATTTGAAAAAGTGCACACAAAAAAATGTATAGCAAAGACTGCAACACACTTTATGCTCTGGAGGGCCCAAGAGTGCAGCGTTTAAACAAAACAAAAAAATGTAAAAATCTTCCAACTCGGTAGCTACGCTCCCTCTCATAATATCCTTCAAAATGTACAAGTACAAGTAAATACCGAGAAATTTGAAGGGTGAACAAAGTATATAGCTATTAACGTTTATACTATAGTTTTGTTAAGGAATGTAATTGTTTAACGCAACAAAACTTCAAAAACATGTGAGGGGGTAGTCACTTCCGTCACCTTCACCCCTCTCATCCACTATGCTCCCTCGTATTTGCGTACTGATGGGGGCGGGGGCTTTGGGGGATGTTCCCCCCGAATGAAATTCAAACGTGGTTTATTTCTAATTCGATACCTCCAGTGATTTACAAATGTTGTATAAATGGCATGATTGTTCCCTGACCTTCCGGGTGCCCTGCCCCCTTTGCCCCACCAAAGGCCCTAAGTCGGGCCCCTGGTTGCTCATCTGACCGAAATCAAATGCCTAAAACGCCTGAGCTTCCAGGGGCTCTGATCCCTGGACCCCACCAAGGCCCCTTAGACGGCCCCTTGATGCTCATCTGATCGTAATTTAATGCCTAAAACCCCCGAGCTTCTGAGGGCCCACCCCTTGACACCTACCGGGGCTTTGCCCCTGGACCCCACACCCATGTACGCTCCACTTTGCTTTGTTTTGCTCTACCTGATCGTAAATACTTTAGCCCCTCCCCCCCCCCCCCCCCCCACTTTTAAAAGAAGGCTTCCAGGGCCTGCGTAACGTGTAAGAGTGGTGGTGATGCGGATTTTTTTCCTGCCCCCTCTCCAAACGTTTCTGCCAATTATGCCACTGCTCCCTCGTCCTTCGCATTTCGTCCCCCCCCCCCCCGGTCGTGAAAAAAAAAATCGCCGCCCCTGCAAATAACCAAGTGCTCATTTGATCTCTTTAACAATGTTCCCTTTTAAAGCCTTTAAAAAAGCTGCAATTAAAGTCAATAAAATAATTGATATCACGTGCAGTCGTCGGAATGTGGGTCACAGGATCCGCGGTTCGAGTCCCGCCACGGCACTAATGTCCTTTGGCAAGATATTAGTCTACATTTGCCACTCTCTACCCAGGTGTTAAATAGTACCGGTAGGAAGCAATTCTTTGAATGCTGTGAGCGCCGAAATTGGCTGCCTTATATAGCAGAGCCGGGGTAATAGTTGGAGCGCCTTGAGCACCATGCATGGTGGATATGTGAATAGGTTCAACATCCTTTCTTTTGGTTGCCAAGTTAAGTAAACATAATCTATTCATTTTTCATTTTGCCTCCTTCCATTTTTTCATACACCCGTTTACTGATCAATTTATGCATGTTTCTCCAGGAACCCTAATTGTTATGTTCATTTGAACCAAATTCATGACCCCATACCAAAACTTTGTACACAATATTAACGTAAGCGAGCACTGCAGGGCAATACGATAATTTGTTTCTTTCAGTAGGCCTATAGTCTGTCATAGCACCTTTTGTAATAAGTATGCCGTTTTTTTTTTTTTTTTTATATGATCGACATTTTGTTGTTGGTGGTACACACACATTTAATATAATTTGCAGTTGCCTTGAGATTTCAAACTCCTTCCATGTCTAAATCTTTATTATTGGACAAAGAAACATTTTGTGAGGTTGAAAAGGGAATGGAGAATAGGGACAATAATAATTGAAAGATTGTAAAATTCCTATTTTAGCAGTTGAAGGGGACATACGGTTTAGTGTAAAAAGGGGCACAGTTCGTTCTTAGGAAATTTTTGATACTTTGAGCTCCCTACTCCACTGCCTGACACTGTGGCAGTACATAATCAGTGCCGGGATCAGTGTTACTACACTGATGGAGCTGCTCAGATTCTTTGAAGCTATATAATAATGGCTCTAATTGAGATGACTGTAAAAGGACACCTTTTGTAAGCGTCAATGCCGGGAATACTAGGCCCATAAAGAGACACTGATCAATAAATGGTAAATCACAAGGTACAAGGGGATTTTATCATTTGTAAAGAGTCGGCACCACGTTACAAAAATGGACACTATAAGTTAGATTTGACAAGGGGCCCTTAATTATCGGACGGGGGAAAGTGCACTCATTAGTAAGAAAGAGGGGCCTTGTCAAAGTATATAAAAGGGGGCATTTAAATGGGACCGTATTATCAAAGATGAGAAGGGGCGTAGAAATTCGGCCCGAAAAAAATTAGCATTTATAAGAAAGGAAAGGGGGATGGAAAAGAGGTTATCTCACCAAATCATCTCTCAATTGACATAAGATAAAGAGGATCATGGGGGACCAAGTCACCGATTAGGCATTGTTTGCTATATAGAGGGCGCAAGTAGCTATAAGTAGCAAAGGGATTCGATCATTATAGTAGCCCATTTTTTTCGTGATAACGCTTGTCAAATTGGAGTCTGTGCTTGCAGACTGGTGGTCTATCTCTATGGTGCAAGCCTATTTTTATATGATAACATAAATATGAATAAACCTAAAAGTCACTACTGTTTATATTATACTAATTTTTTTAATTTTTAAATACTTAATTAAAAAATCTAGTGCTTTCCACAAAATTTCCTAACTATCAGCTTTGCCATGCATGTCTTCCATGTGTAATGAATTTTATCGAACGAGGCAACTGTGCATCCGCTATTTCTAGCATTTTCTAATTTACCGTGTGAAATTCTACGGAGACACTGTTAGATTACACGCTTTGTTCACAATTTGGATATATTTTGGAGAAAATTCTGAATTTTCCCGTAGAAAATGGCTAAGTGGGGAAAAGGAGATCCTCGCTGGATTGTGGAGGAACGAGCAGATGCTACAAACGTGAATAACTGGCACTGGTAAGACACGTTGTGTCGCTTTATTTCTTCGTACTCCAGATATTGGGCAATAGAAGAGCCAGGCCCGTCGGGCTGGGTTCTCAGTGGTGTCCGTCACGCTTGTTGCAGTGCGTGATCATAATGAAAACGGCGCTGTATGATCGACTAGCATGCCATCTTCAATCGTTAATAATACGCATTGCCATTGCATTGACTCCTATGCTTTGCTGGAGTGATCATCATTATGATCATGACTGTCTGTGAACTGTGATTCCATGTTTTTCTTTTTACCGACGTTTGATAATCGACATGAATCTATTCTAGACTCTACTCGATTGAATATATTACTTATTAGCTCTCTCTTTCTATCTCCCCCCCCCCCTCTCTCTCTCTTCTACCCCCTTCCCTCTTTCTTTCTATACCCCTCTCTCCTCTCTCTTTCTATCTTCATCTCTCTTCTTCTGTATCTCCCCTTCCCCCTCTCCCCTCTCGTTCTTTTCACTTCCCTTTTCCCGTCCCTCTCTCTCTTCCTCGTCATTTCTCTCCTCGATTTCCTCGTCATCTCTCGCTTTGGTCTTGCTACATGTAGCCAGACTGGCTCCACTTGTTGAATATTGTATTTCATGTTTTTCTTATGATATATTTTGGTTCAATTTTGTTTACACTATCCAATTACATCGTAAATCAACCATTTTTAATTTCCAAAACTTTACTAGATTTAGATCTAGGTCTAGAGTCTAATAGATGTTTTTAAACCGAATGAATAAATAAATAAAAATAAATAGAGGTCTAAGGTTGCTGAATTTAGATTGATTAATACCTTATAATTTTTATATGTATTTTGATTGCTACCTTTGATGTGTATCATGTCATTATTACATATTTATTCACAGGACAGAGAAGAATGCATCAAAGTGGTCAACGGATAAACTGACTGAATTGTTTACAAATATCAAGGTGGAAGATGAAAGAGGTAATGTTGATGTATGGTTTTTTTTTTTGTTTGTTTGTTTGTTGTTTTGTTTTGTTGTTGTTGTTTTTGTTGTTTGTTTTTTTTGGGGGGGGGGTCTTGCTAAGTTGGGAAATAAATTCATTTGTTGTTCCCCTGGCAGGAAGGTAAAGAAAGATGTATAGCTAGATGATTCTAGAAATAAGCATAAAGTTTTTACCTTAGTTGGATCTAAACATGTCAGAAGTGTTCATTTGTTGATAGGTTTACAAATTCATTTCACAATGAATGTTCCTTTCATTCAAAAGCTAGAAATTAAAATTTCGGACCAAACTTTGTGTTTGCGCTTTTCTGGCAAGCACACTACAATGTACCGGTCTTATATTTTAGTCTTATGACATTAGAAAAATGATAGTTATGGGAAGAATATTAGCGTTTGTGCAACTGCAAGAGCAACACTTTGTAAAACTTTAAGAACATGTACATGTTCATGTATTGAACAGATTACCCTAAATTGATTTGAAACCAGGACATGTAGTATTGTTTGTTTGAATATTATGTCAACATGTACACTAAGTTTGAAGAGCTGTATGTAGCTTATACTGCTATAAGTGCTATTACCATAGATGCATGTAATTAGATATGGTAAAGATATGTGTTGATTTAGAAAGAAAAGGTTTGTGATATTAAATTCTCATCTTTGTTTTCGTAGGTCAGTGTGAGCTTTATGAAGTGAAGGAAATCACTGGTGAAGCCTCTGCCAGCAACCGCAAGGCAAAACTTATCTTCTTTTATGAATGGGTTATCAAGTTGAAATGGAAAGGTGAGTGTTTAGGAGAGCCTTCAATGACCGAGTCTTCAGTTTTGTACTTTCTATATTCTTGGTGAGAATTCTCCTGCATATTAGCTGTGATTCATTGTGCCATCCTCCTGATTTTGATTTAAAGCCCCACTGCACTACTTATAGCTACTTGCGCCCTCTATATAGCAAACAATGCCTAATCTGTGCCTGTTGGTCCCCCATGATCCACTTTTTCTTATGTTACTTGAGAGCTGATTTGATGAGATAATCACCTGTTCGTGACCTTGCAGGGAGGTCTAACCCCTCTGGCCAAACTAGTGCAGACAGGCTTTAATAATGTCATATCAACCATTAGCTTCTTCTCATCATTTCTACCCTTTGATCTTGGATAATCTTAAATCCGCAGGGAACTTTGATTCCATCAATGTGCCATTTTTATTAAACGCAAAGTATATTGCATTCTAACAAAACGTACATGTAGCCTGGTGCTTTTTCTTTGTAACTATGTTTCATTTCTATAATTATGTAGGGGAAAGCCTAAACCTTTACAAGGAAATGAAGTATTTAAAAAAACAGAAGAAAAGGTAAACAGCTCAAAAAATAACTACTTGCATTCTAATAATGTTGCATAAGAAGTTAAAAGAGAGGAAATGTATTAAAATGGTCATCAATATTAATGTTGAACTATTTCTGTTGATAGGTACTCTAAAGGACTGCACCACTGAATTAGAAGGGACTGTGACGATGCCCAACCTAAGTGATGAAAATGGAGTGGACGATGTGGATGTAGGCCTATATATGATCATACATTAACTCCAGGGGGGTTGTTTCACAAAGATCCTAAGTCGAACTTAACACTAAGTTGGACTTTAAAGTTATGGTTAGCCATTTGTAGCCTTAAAATGAAATATATTCAAAAGCGAAAAAACAATTATTTTAGACTTTTTATAAATTCCACATCAAGAACATGAAATCTCCTTGATAATATTAGAAAATGTGAATGTTTTGAATCAATATTTTATGCCTTTTAAAACAACTTTTACAAAATATTTTCATAGATGCCAACGGCTTTCCATAATTGTTATGTCCAACTTAGGATCTTTGTGAAATACTCCCAGGCTTTATATTGTCAGAGGTATGGGTTCAGGGTTGCAAGTGGGTTTAGGGTAAGTATAGTTAGTGTCAGAGGTAGCAGTACTATTTGGTCCAGGTTGAAGTTAAGAATTTGGTTAGTGTGGGAAATCGACCATGGAGCAAGCCTATACTATTTCACAGTAACATTGTGTTGCTTGACTTCAGTTGTCAATATCACCGTATGGCATTGTTTTGAGGAAGGCCTTTTCTGTACCTACACAATCACACTGGCTATTTAAGTGCAGTGTCCCTCTGCGGGAGAGTGTGAAAGCTTGTTGGTATTTCCTTTATATTGGATTTGAGTGCATTGCGGAAGTGACCTATTGGTATCTCATATTATTATGTTAATGTTCTTTGGAAATTTTCATTGTAATTCATGCTCATTTCAGTTTTATAACTGCCAGACAGGAAGATATTAATAAAATTCATTTATCTATATATCTATCTATCTATAGTTAGATTCATAATAGGCTTTATGCTGAAGATGCAAAGGTGTGAATACATGTACTGTTATTACACAAACTTTAGCTGAACTTCCAAGATAAGGAATTCTAGCATTTCAATGCAAATTTTCCTACTGTATACCTTTTACAGCAGTAACGTATTAACTGCATCTAGATCTTGAATGACAGATGTAGGAATGTCTTGCTAAGGGACATTAGTGCAGATTCAGGGATTTGAGCCCAGTACAATGTGGTGTTTCACAAAGACTTAGATCGACTTACATTCTTGGCATTGGTCTCTCAAGGGACGTACAAATCGTGGTCACAAATCCACAGAATTCACATTTTTGAATGGTTTATTATTGAAGGAAAAAATGTTCTCTAAAGATCATAATTTCTAAGGTTTCCTTCCTCTAATTTACATCTGGTTCAAGACTTTTTAAGGGCATAAATCGGCTACCCCAGTACAAGTCCAAGTCTTAAATATAACTTGAGTTTACAATGTAAGTGACTTTTTTTACCACATTGAACTGACAGTATCAAAACATGTAAATTCTGTAGATTTGTGACGTCCCATGAGAGACCAATGGTGAGAGCAACCAGTGGCATGAATGACCTGCCATAGTTCAAGTCCAACTTAAGTCGATATTAGTCTTTGTGAAACAACCCCCTGGACACCTCTACGTAAAGTACTGTACGTAAATGCAAGTATGATAACAAATTTACCAGTAGCACAAGTTGACCCATTTTTAATGTGTTTCATCACGTATCATGTCATTTATCTATAAATTATGCATTTAACGTGCTATTCTGTCCACAGATTGAAATCTCCACAAACACAGCAACACCAGAATCTCACACTCTTAGAGAGGTCATGAAGAGCAAAGGAGTTCCAGTCCTTCGACAAAAGATTGGAGAATATACTCAGGCACTTAAAAAAGGTAATATTTATTCACTTCAAAGCATTTGTATAATAATGGAAAGTTAGACTTTACTCCTTCTGTCACCTTTGTAGCAATTCCATACCTGCCAAGTGCCAACCCTTCTGAATATTCTAGAATATTCTGATTTTCTGGATTTTTAGGACCCCCCCCCCCCCCCCCCCCCCCCCAATTTTGTATTTTTTTTTTTTTTTTATTTTTTTTTTACTAAAGCCAAATTAAGCTTGTTTTATTTTTTAGTTTCATTTGGAGTTTATAAGTGTTGTGGTTAGTAAAGGTGGAAAGAATAGTGGTGCTTTATCACCCAAGTTCTAGAAATTTTTTCTTCTCTCTCTCTCTCTCTCTCTCTTTCTCTCTCTTGCTCACTCTCTCTTATTTATAATGTAGAATTCAGCCAAGGGATGATTCTACCATCTAAAACACAGGACAGCTCACCAGTGAATGCCAGTAATGTCAAGAAAGCTTCATTACCTGTAAGTGGTTCTCTTTTCCTTTTCTCTATTTTGACATTATTCCTATGGAATAAAAACTTTCTAAAAGGAAAGAAACAAAACTAAACTAAACAATTAGAATAGGGTTAACGTAGTATAGTCTGAACTCAGTATACTGAGATGAATGTTAGATTGAATCAACATTGAAATTCAATTATCTTTTGCAATTTTAGTACTTCCTAAAGTCAAGCACATTCTCTGATTTTAATAGACAAATGTTAAGGTTATATCCAGCTCAAGATGTTGTAGGGATGTGTGAAGAGTAACAGATAATGTCTGTGTTCATTCCTGTGTTGCCAATTTGAAGATGAAATTACTCCTGACAAATAATATTGCTGCCAATCAAGGGATGAAGACTTTCAAGAGTATCTGAACATGAAGTGACTTTTATTTTGCAACAGCAATGAAATGAATGTTGTTAAAGAAAATTTCTCAGAGAGAAATTCTGGAGTGAACATCAACCGCTCTTGTGAAATACACTTATCATTCATAAACTTCAAGAATGTGCCCCCTGGAGGGAAATTTTTCAAAATGAATCTCGTTCTGAATCAGACTGAAAAGCTTTTGATCTCTAGTAGACCATACTCTAAGAAATCTGGAATGTATGATGTTCAACAATCTGGCATTAAAGATAAAGTTGAGTTCTGGTCATGCGATTGCATTGTGAAAGAAACGTTGTGGAATTGATCAGAAAGGTTGATCATTTAGCATATAAGTATTGGTGTGTACTGCAAGGTTCTGGAATCATCAAAATGATAAGAAATTTGGCCCAGTCTTGGTAAAGTTACAAGCACTGTACACAGAAAGATGTATATGGGACTACACGAACATGTGGCATAAAAATCTGTCCAATATTTATGCTGTTACATGCCATATTTAGAATATTAAGGCATTTGAAGAGCCATGCTTTTCAGGAAATGTTTTTAATCTGATGTTCTTCCACACTTGCATAATAACAATGATAACGCTTATAAATTAGTTTTCACCTCTTGCCAGGACTCAACCTTCTCTTTAAGTATTAGCCTTTTAGATTTTATTTATCAAGGTTTGAATAATCTGCGATGTGCATCGATCTGCTTGTTGTTGTTACAGGATCCCATTCCTGTCAAGAAACCAGACAATGGAGTCAGCACAACACAGATGAAAGGACTGAGCCTCGGAGTCAAAATAGAAACCTGCCAACTGGAATTAACACAAGAATTCAAATGTGAAGCTGCTATGCTCTATTTGGCATTTACTGATGTTGAAGTAAGTATATTCAAAGCTTTACACCAATTTGACGTGTTAACTATTTTGTAACATTTTATTTTTGTCCTTGTTGTCATTTGAGTATTCTAACCTAGCGAATAAGAGTCAGTAGTGTGCGTGCCTCTTCAACCTTTTGTTCATCTCCTCTAAATTTAGACCCATTTTTGCCCATGTAGGGTAGTCAGTTCTCTTGATTTCTTCTTTCAATATTAAGTATCAAGATGGCTGTCCGGTAGGTTGTAGTGCCCTTGGTCCTTACTACTGTGTAGCTCTGACATCTACTTGTGATCAATTCTTACAAAAATCTTTCTGACCTCAAGTCCTTTTATGATTATTTATATAATATTGGATGGCTTTGAGTGTGATACAAGAATATATCGCTATGCTCGAGTTACATGTATGACAATATTGGACGAGTTGAAGACAGGTGTAATATTGTCTTAGCGAGAGTAATATATTCTTGTATCACACGAAAGCAAAGCCATACAATATTGTAGTATATATATCATTATTATTATCGATAGTTGATTGATTTACCAATAGAAGCCATTGAACTTCCTGGATGACTGAGCAATCCCAAAACAATATTGGTCAGTCATCCGGGTACTGCGCTAAAGAAATTGAATACACTGATTTATTGTACCCCTTGGAAGCCTTATATAGATAATAAATCATTATATCGAGGGGGAAAAAGCAGATAAAACCACCAACCCCGTTTGGTAGTCTTGAGATAAATAATGCACTAACCACTATTTCTCTTAACTTTATTTTTAGCGGTTACAAGCCTTCACCCATGCTAAAGCTACAGTGAATGCAGAAGCTGGAGGAAAATTCACCATGTTAGATGGCAACATCTCCGGAGAATTTGTTTCATTAGTAAGTACATCACCTATATGTATATTACATTTTTGGTATTCCATGTTAGCTATATCAGCTTATTAAAAAAAATTATGTTTTCAATGTTTTTTGTTTTAAAATTTTTAAATACGTGGTTGTCATCTGTTCTTTATTTTTATGCCTCCGCTACAAAGTAGCCGGAGGCATCATGTTTTCGGGTTGTCCGTACATACGTACGTCCTGTTCTTATGATCGCGTTATCTCAAGAACCAAATTGATCGATTCCCGCCAATTTTTTGGTAAAAAATGTGAATTTTTTATTTAAGTGGAAGAAATAAAAAGTAGTGATTTGTATTCTTTTTTTAAGCATGTAGCTTTGTTTCTAACCCTGCAAAAACCAGTATAATTGTGCATTTGAAGTTTATTTTTGTAGATTAATTTAAATCGGTCTTTAACAACCTTTTGTTATTTTACTTTCCAGGAACCCCATTCTAAGATTGTCATGCAGTGGAGATTCAAATCATGGGATGAAGGTAAGCATTATTCATATCAAATTCCCACATACCTGAGCCCGAAGACATTTACAACTTTAGCCATTTCCATTTAAAAGTCGTTATCTTTCTTACTTTCTTAATCTCAGATCCTCATTAAATCCATGTCAGTAATTCACATGATCATCATCATCATCATCATTACTGTCGCTAACTTCATGCACGTGCATGCGTCTGCACCCCATTGTCAGTATATGGTATGCACAAGTTGTATTGTGCAGCAGTTTGCCATGAAACATGTGAGAAATTGTATATTATAATGTCTTTGTTTTGGGGAAAATACTCCATAAAAGATAAGAAAATTGAAACGAAAGAGGTAAGAAAGATAATGACTTTTAAATCATGACCATTATTTGAGCTATTGTTAAAGGATTTGGTTGATTTTTGGTATGTTATACTCTCCACGTGGGAGTCACAGGTCCAAAGTATGGTCACAGATCTGAACTAGCACCATTGTAGTGTAGTGGTTAATTTCATATACAGTGAAACCTTAACACAAAGGCTACTCAAGGGATATATGAAGAGTGGTGTTTATTGGTAGGTGGTCTTTATGCACATATTCCTGTAGTATAGTCAAACCTGTCTATAGCGACCGCCCGAGGGAAATACAAAACGTGGTCTGTGTAGACAGGTTCCTTTAGTACATGTTTCAATGAGAAACCATTTTCTCATTTTCCAAGGAAAACAAAAAATGTGGTCTTTGTAGACAGGTGGTCACTAAAGCGGGTTTGACTGTACTTGTTCTAGTGATTCTGTTCAACGAAAACAAGGAAAGTGGTCTTTATAGGCAGGTGGTAACTAGAGCAAGGTTGACTTCACCATATTTCTCTCTCTCTCTCTCTCTCTCTCTCTCTCTCTCTCTCTATGTACAGGACACCATTCACTAGTAACACTGCAGTTCAACCAGAAATCTGACTGCACTGAACTCCTCCTCACCCAGAAGGGCATTCCCAAGGCAGACTTTGAGCGCACCAGGCACGGCTGGAACTCCGTCTTCTTCCAGAGGATCAAAGGCACCTTTGGGTTCGGCGCCTCGCTCTTCTGACGTCAGAGCAACGGCTGGACACTTGCGGATGCTTTTTCATGGAGAACATTGAGTACAGTGCCCCTGTTTGTTCTAGCCGTGGTCCTGTTCAAGAGATACGCCCTTAATCCTCAGCGATGAGATGACCCAATGACCTTGATCCTGTGTCCGTAACTGATAAGAGTCTCCTTGAAGATGCGTGGGGACCGCCGTGTAGGATCGTGCTATTTTTACCCTGTAAATCATAACCTGGATTGTGCAAGTACAGTAGTTCATTTTGTGATTTTGAATTTATAGCTGTGCACATTTAATCAAGCTATTGAAATTGTAAAATGAAATGCCTGTATAAAAAACTTTTTTTTTCATTATCAGACATAGAAAAGGTCCTTATTGAGTCATTTGTTTGGTTCTTTTTACAATTGTGTACATCTTCATCTGTGGTGCTTGTATTAAAAGTAGGGATAATCACTTTTTTTTGTTATTACCTATAAAGAGTTACCGTAATATTATTGAATATTTTGTTCGGATTATTATATGAATAAATCAGATATTGCAGATAACCTGGTTCCCTCCAAAAAAAATAGTATTCAAAAGCACCATGCAAATTTGTTATGCAAGTTATAAATTTACAAGTCTAAAGAATGTGAACTAGATCATCATTTGTAATGAAATACATGATTCATGCTTGGTTAATTTGACTTTCAATGGAGAGGTTGAGAGTTCATTGCTCATCTTCTCAGAGTTGAGAGTTCATGAATTAATTCACAAGACAAGTTTCAGGGTAATTACTGGACAAAATATTATCCTGAAACTCTGATATGGTACAAATATTGCAAAATGAAATTACTTAAAACTTATATTTGATATGTAATTCACTTAAAATTCTGTCAAGCTCCCCCTTTATAGGGCCGATGACAACTGCTGAAATTGAAGCCAGTGTAATTATTTCCAAAGCTCATGATACTTATCACTAATCAGAGTACATTTATATAAAAAACAAAACAAATGAATAATCTTCTAAATGGAAATACCGTAGGTCCATTATTCTTAGGTAGTGAATGTGTTCAGAACTTCAAATTCAGTGCCAATATAATTGGCCATGGACAATCATCATTGTATTTATTTAATATAATATACAGTGCTGATTAAATGTAATATACGTTTATTTATTCAGCAAACCATTTCTCAGGTCAGATCTGCATTGTTTTCGAACAAAAGATTACTTTTGAGGCATGAAAGTTTCATTGAAAAATGGAAGGAAAAAAACTTTGGAACAGTTTTTTTTTCATATTCTCTATGCTCATTAGCATATTTGTATTCTTTTGCAACCTCACTTTTTTTTCCTCTTTTGAATCGTGTGTTTTCTATCTCTCCTTAACATACCATTAAATTAAAGGGAATGAAACGCTGTGGATTGCATGTCCAAGATTAATGGGTTAAATATTCACACAAAATGTAAGTAAATTACTAAAGCACTGCATATATGCTTTATCCAGCACTCTTTTTGTTGTTGTCATTTCTTGTAATTTGGAAGGAAATATGCTGGGGTATAGATCTCTCGATTGCATGGGTTCTGTATGCAACTTGTACATGTATACATCCAAGGAAATGTATTAATGTACTGCACACCAAGATCTGTATAACATGTACTTATTAATTCAAAGCCTTCCTATATCAAGAAATATGTCAATGATGAGAATATGAAATGAACCTATGGTAAAATAAACTTTACTAGCAATGATACGAGAGTTGCATAGTCTGTAAATTACACATCTTTAGAGATAACGACATATATTGAGTAAATATAATTTGAGTGACATGTATATGCATATGTTCATGTATTGCAAGTCCAAAGCCTAAAATTATTGCATTATAATTGTATCAATGTATCATGACAGAGATATCTGTATGTCTTAATAAATATGAATTGTCAAAAGTAAACAAGGTTTCATTATAGCTTTCCTTTGGTAATCAATATTGTCTCTGCATTTGATTTTCACTTGCCTGTTCGAAATTTAATATTCTGCCAGAATAGATTGATTAAGATACGAGGACCTTGAATAAACAGACTGTGTAACCATATAGCTTAGAGAGAGAGATTTTCCATCAAACACATGGTGATGGTGGTTATTTTACCCGACTACTAAGAAAGCATAAATGCTTGTAAGTAAGCAACCAGACGGCCGACGGCTTTAGGTCCTCTTAGAGGGACCTGGTAATGAGGATTAATGCCTTACCAAAGGGCACTAGCGCATCGACTTGGTTTAGAACCCGGGTCACCGGATTACGAGACCACTGCTCTACCGACTGAGCTATTGCGTCTCCTCTATTTCTTGGATTTCTTTCAAATACTTATATCAAATTTATTGGAAATCATGGACCAAATATAATGATACAATAATGAACACTGTACATCTTTGATGAACATGAAGTCATGAACATTCCAATATCTTTATCTCTGCAACATAAAATAAAATCTACTTTTAAATAGTTTTCAATAAATGCAAAGTCAATGCAATATGAGTAATACATTGTCTCAGTGTTACAGTAAGTTATCCACAAATTCTCCATATCTCCAAAAGTCTGATTTCTGAAATGCCCATTTCATAAACACAAAATCAGTCTGAATTGTTATGAGCGTATGGAGTAGATCAAATCTCAAAATTAAATTCTGTAAGAGAATAATGTTCAGGTTTTTCCAAAATGTTGGATAGTTCATGTACATTCAAATGCAACAAGTAAATTTCACCATTAAAGCCCCACTGCACTACTAAATAGCTACTTGCGCCCTCTATATAGCAAACAATGCATAATCGGTGACCATTAGTCACCCATGATCCCCTTTTTCTTCTGTTAATTGAGAGCTGATTTGATGAGATACCCACCTGTCAGTGACCATGCAGGGAGGTCTAATCCCTCCTGGCCAAACTAGTGCAGAGGGGCTTTAAAAGTATTACCCGTAAACTGCTATAAAAAAAATCATGTTGGGACACCAAGAGATAATATTTCCATAGGAATATCTTTTAATGATCACAATAGAATTTTAATTTCAATAAAAAAAAATTACAAATTAATTCTAAACAACTCAAAATACTGTACATGAATGATGTTTTGAAAAAGGATAGCCTTTTGGGTAATCTTTGAAATAAAAGTTATTAATAAACATTATTTGAACCAACTAATGCAAATTGGAAGACAATGCAGGAAAAGGCATTTGAACTATGATTATGAAGTATATGAACATACATTTTAAACTGGCATTCGCCAAATCATAAGTCATTCTAATCTTTGCATATGCTATAAATGCTTCTCACCAAGATTTCAATTTTTTAAATGTTCATGATCCTGCAAAGTCCTGTCATACAAAAGTTGATAACTGAATACCTCAAAAAGCTTAGTAATACTAAATTTCTGAATAAAATGTTCCTTGCTTGCAGTTTTGAAAATAACATGTTTAGGTGAGACTTGTCTTTTTCTGATACGAAAACCAAATAAAAATAAAAGCTTCAAATGTTAGCTGCACATTTTCACAATCTCTTACTTTTGTATTAAACCCTTTTCAGTGGCAACATGATCCTTCGAATTGCAGCTTCTACAACTTGACATTGTTGTGACAAACATGATGCAAAGAGAATCATGGAGGCAAGTGGAAGGACAGATAGGATACTATACAGTGTGTCCCAGAAAAAAGAAACCGAGAATTATCAATGTTTTATTATAACTTAATCACAATTATAATTAATAAATGACTTTTTGGTACCGGCCTCTCTTCAAATTGCTTTCAATCATTCATGCATGAAATATGCATAATATAAGTTGCATATAGAGGAGGATCTAAGCTTTACAAATATGTGTCATTTATTAATTATAATTATGATTAAGTTATGATAAAACGTCAATAATCCTCAGTTTCGTTTTCTTCTGGGACACACTGTACAATCAGACTACAATCCGATTTTGGAAGAATTTTCAATAGCATATAATGTAAACATTGAAACTTGTAAAATCTTGATGAGCAAGGATCTGAATAGTCATATGCAGGGATGCCAGTTAGAATTGATCAGAGGGCCTGAAAATCACCTAGAATGAGCTATTTAGTACACAAAAAAGCCTAACCTATGGCCTGAAAATAACTCCCCAGGGCCTGAATTCAAGCTTTAGCCTGAAAACTGGCATCCCTGCATATGACTAATAGCATGGCTCTTTAAATACCTTAATATTCTAAATATGCCATGTGACATAAAATTAGGGACGGATTTTTATGCCACATGGTCATGTAGTCCGAGTAAGATGTGTACAGTGCTTGTAACTTTACCAAGACTCTGCCAAATTTCTTATCATTTTGATGATTCCAGGACCTTGCAGTACATACCAATACTTATATGCTAGATGATCAACCTTTTCTGATCGATTCCACAACGTTTCTTGCAAACGCAATCACATGACCAGAACTCAACTTTATCTTTAAATGCACTAAAATTCTGGTTGTTAGTATGCTTATCATTCAGAACCTAAATCAGGAAGATGATGATGGACAGATTTCGATATCTAATATACATGTAATCGCCATTTCTTCTAAAGTTGGATTGCAGCAGGATCGTGTAGTGTGCGCTGGGCATGAAACATGATTGCACAGACATCACCTCTTAGATGATGTTTTTTCGTCTCGTTTGTGAGATGTCTGTCGCATTGGACTATCTTTGGCATCATGATCTCCTTCCTTAATCCTAATCCTCAAATCTCTAAGATCATCTTGTGAAGTCTTGTCAAGGCCAGCTTGTCTTCTATGCTCTTCGATGATCTCACCTCCTTTCCTGGCTTCTTCTACATAGGTTTCCACTTGCTTGGTCACGAGGCTGATGCGACACTGTGGCAACACATCTTCCAGCATCACGGCAACCAGAGGAGCAAACTTGACCAGTGGCATGTCGTTCATATTTAACCTCTCCAGATTCCTAGACAAAATATAACAAGAATTCAAGAAGATAAGAGATTGTTAGCTGTGGCAACACATCTTCCAGCATCACGGCGACCAGAGGAGCAAACTTGACCAGTGGCATGTCGTTCATATTTAACCTCTCCAGATTCCTAGACAAAATATAACAAGAATTCAAGAAAATAAGAGAGTGTTAGCTGTGGCAACACATCTTCCAGCATCACAGCGACCAGAGGAGCAAACTTGACCAGTGGCATGTCGTTCATATTTAACCTCTCCAGATTCCTAGAAAAAATATAACAAGAATTCAAAAAGATAAGAGATTGTTAGCTGTGGCAACACATCTTCCAGCATCACAGCAACCAAAGGAGCAAACTTGACCAGTGGCATGTCATTCATATTTAACCTCTCCATATTCATAGAAAAAATATAACAAGAATTGAAGAAGATAAGAGATTGTTTTACATACTTTAGAGGAACAAAATATATTCAAAGCCCCACTGCTAAGTGCACTACTTATAACTACTTGGGCCCTTTATATAGCAAACAAAGCCTAATCAGTGCCTGTTGGTCCCCCATGATCCCCTTTTTCTACTGTTAATTGAGAGCTGATTTGATGAGATAACCACCTGTCAATGACCTTGCAGGGAGGTCTAATCCCCCTGGCTTAATTAGTGCAGACGGGCTTTAAAGAAAAGTTATCTTGAATACCAATCCAATATGAAATCCATGCAGGTACCTTCCAATGAAGACATGAAATAAGAAAATGATCATCAAACAGAAAATGGTTTAATATGAAATGACCTTAAATGATTTTCTTTTTAAAAGAAAAGGAAGGAAAAAGATAAAAAGCATCTCCAGGTGAAATTTGTAAGTCTTTACAGCAAATTTTATGTTATACTTTTAATATTTTCATAAAAAGAGGCAAGTTTTCTTTATGCTCTATACATGTTTTTCCAAACATGTATTCAAATTCAACTACAGAAGCAGACTACAGGGTATATACAACACTTACTTCTATTGAAAGCTCTTAGATATATATGAACATAAACATAATATTACCTTAGTTTGTGGAGTGTTGCTACACCATTCTCAGTAACTTGCTCACATTTATTAATATTGAGATGTGTGAGAGTATCTCTTAGATGCACAAGGCTAGCAAGGCAGTGATCATCTACTAGACCACATCCTTCAAGACTTAGATATTTCACTTCAGATAATTTTACTGCAAACAATGAGAAAGAAAATGTTTCACATTAGTTATGATAGTACAGACAGATTACCAGCCATGGCTTTAGCCAAGCAGCCCTAAATCAGCATTCAAGGAATCCCAGAAATTATCTCCTACAAAGTTATCAGTCTAATACACCTAAAAGGAGAGTAGCAGATGTAGATTTAATGTCTTGCAAAAGGACATTTGCGAGTAAATAACATGACTGTCTGACATAGTATGCCAATAACTAAAGTTCTTGAGCATTTTTTAAAAAGCTATGTTTGTGCTTTAAATAACAAAGAAGATCACAACAAACTTCAGTATCACAGACAGCAAATTGAACTCATTTAGAAGGACGGTTTAATTTAAGTTTATGATTTGATGTCTTGTCTCCCAAAGCAAAAGATAAAATGCCAATGTAGCTATTAGTTGGAGACAGGCAGACAATGAAGTACTAGATTAAGAAACAGCAAGAGAGAGAGAGAGAGAGAGAGAGAGAGAGAGAGGGGGGAGGAGGGGGAGGGGGAGGAGGGCAGAAAGGTGTAAAAGGAACATAAAGGCTGTCTTGATAGAAGAAAAAAAGTACATTATATGCAAGTAAATTTTAATTTAAAGAGAAGGTTGATTTCTGGGAAGAGGTAACAAATAATTTGTGAGCGTTATCATTGTATTATGCAAGTGTGGAAGAACATCAGATAAAAAATGTTCCCTGAAAAGCATGGCTCTTCAAATGCCTTAATATTCTAAGTATGGCGTGTAACATCATACAAATTGGGACAAATTTTTATGCCACATGTTCGTGTAGTCCCATATACATCTTTCTGTCCACATTACCTGTTAGTACTTTACCAAGACTGGGCCAAATTTCTTATCATTTTGATGATTCCATAACCTTGCAGTACACACCAATACTTATATGCTTGATGATCAACCTTTTCTAATCGATTCCACACCCTTTCTTTCACAATGCAATCGCATGACCAGAACTCAACTTTATCTTTAAAGGATGAAACTTTAGAGAGATCAACAAACATGACAAACATGCATCTTTACCAACATCTGCCATGCTAAATTGGTCCAGGTCAGTGTCCGTGGCATCAATGGCTATCACAAACTGACCATTCAATTCATCAAGTGGTAGTGATCCTTGTCTAATGTCTTGCTTGGCGTACCACTTTCCATTTGTAAACTGGACTCTTGCCCCCATCTTGACCAGCATATGGCTAACACCAACCTCACGTCCAAACTTTTTTATGGTGTCAAATGACTGTCTGTTCGGACAAAAGAATACAGATTTTTATAAACAATCTGTTAACTATTTAGTATTTACCAATAAGAGAATTTGAAAACACAATTTTAGTACATGAAAAGACACCCTTCTCCAGGAAAAAACAAAGTACATAGATTATCTTTTAAACTATAAACTATTTGGAACAATGCAAAGGAAATTAAGACACCACCTATTTTTATGACTTGGCAATACTGACTTCATATTTCAGATCTTAAGACTCAATCCATTTAGTGTCTTAGGAGTTAGTAAGATTAAATAATGCTAGAGTATATCTTTGGGAATAACAAAAGCATCCCCCCTCCTCAAAATTATCTGTAAACAGTCACAAAATGTTTGAAATCGTGGACCTCCCCATCCTTTTTTGGTTATTGTTTGTTAGTTTTTTCTTTTTTTAATCCAGGTGGCAGAACAAGTAAAAACATATACCCGGTATAACCCTGTAAACGATCATCGGATCGGACGCCGATACCGATCCGATCAGGGGTGATCTGATAATAATTTCCGATCGCCGATCAATAAAAATGATCGGAAAAAATTGGCAGACATTTTCGTCATAAAAAAAAAAAAATCAGCTGATTTTTTTAACGATCTTCCGATCCGATACCGATCATAGTTGCGAGGGAGGGTGTCGCTCCGATCTTCCCATCTGATCAGAGCCCCAACTTACAGGGTTAACCCGGTATATGACAAAATTTTCTTAATTGACCAGGGGAGTGTTTCACAAAGACTACGATCGACTTTAAGTTGGACGTAACTATGGCAGGCCGCTCATGCCACTGTTTGCTCTCACCATTGTTGAAGAAAAAAAAGTCTTAAAAAAAAACTTAGTTTACAATGTACCAATAAGTAACTTTTTTTCTTCAACAATGAACTATCTAAAAAAAAATCAAATTCTGTAGATTTGTGACATCCCTTGAGAGACCAATGATAAGAGCAACTAGTGGCATGAACGACCTGCCATAGTTCAGTCCAACTTAAGGTTGATCTTAGTCTTTGTGAAACCAACCCCTGGTAGCACAGTACTAAAGGTTAAGTAACTCACATTTTCACTTGTTCAGACCATGCACGCTGTATTCTCTTCTTTGCCAAGTACCAGATTGACATGTTTCTACATTGAGCTGTTCTTTGTCCTGTCATCATTGCTTGCTGAAGAGCAACACACCGAGCTGACCTTCGAACTACATCTGCAGCTTGCCGTCTGAGGATACAGGCACAGCCATGACCCATCAGGGACTAGAATATTAAAAATTCAAGAATCAACTTTTTTATCTTTATTGATTTGATCATTTTGATGTAGACAAACATGTACTGTAATAAATAATATTATTTTTGCATAAATAATATTATTGCAATAAATAATATTATTGCAATAAATAATGTTATTGTAAAAAACGGAAGAGTTTTTCTTTGTCCGCAGAAATCAAGTTGATTTAATCTGAAATCTGAATCTAAGACAGCTCAACACTCCTGGAGGAGTCAAAAGAGTGGACTTGATATATGAATATCAAATAATATAATAATACTTTTGAAATGCTATTGCACATGAGTATTGAATAAGTTGAGACTTGCATACATAACATATCAATGAATACAAAGCTGCTCTTCGCCAGGATCGACAATAGATTTTCAATTGCCGATCCGCTCGAGTAACTTCAAATTTAAATGAGAGAGGGCCTACTTAACTTAAGCGCAACTTAAGTTCAGTGGCAATGTCAATACTTAATATCACGTCACACCACAGAGATTTAGACACGTCATGCTTTAAACAGGTGACGCACTTCACACATAACATGAAATTGCACACACATAAAATAGAAAAATCAACAAACATTTCAGAATAAATTTCCAGTTTGTACCTGAAATATGACGAAAATGAGAATTTTTCAAACTTAAAAATAGTTACGTAAGGCTTGAACTTAAGTGAAATACTTAACCTTTTAAGGATGCTGAAAAAATCGTAAGAAATACAGGGTTTGACTGAAATATCATAATTTTGGTATCGAATCAAACGGAAAATCACAAGCTTGCTCCTCGCATCAATAACATTGAGTGAATGGAAGCCAGCGATAGCCATGAATAAGAAGGGCCCTTGATGGCGCCAATTAGGTTAAATAAATGTAAGCTAAAGTTAAGTCCTACGTGGTAACTAGGCCCTCTCTCACTTAAATTCGAAGCCACTCGAGCGGATCGGCCAAAGGAAACGCATAAACTCATACGGTACAGCGCTCAATGCGCAAAGTTCTATGTGCAGTGTCGCCTGTCTACACAGCCAGGGTAGTAATGCTGCTATGCCTATGTGCGCTGTACGCCAACGTCATGCTAAACTTCAATTTACTGCTAGTGGAGTGTTATCACAAACACTAAAGTGAACATGTGGGACACCACAGTTAGATCCAACATTATCTACATTCAGTGAGAATTAATCATTGTACGTTATATAAGTATAACCATTATGGTGAACACATCATCATTCTTTAAAGTGTTTTGACTTACTATATTCATGATTACGCTGAATTCTGAAAGACTTCCCTTTTAGAGCTAGAGTTTAGTTTCAGCAAAATCCGCTCCTGTTCCTTTTCGGATTCTGGATATGAGGTTGCGTTCTAGTACATGCACAAACCCACCACGGCCCACGGCGCGCGCGCCAGCCACTGCACTGCAGCCACTACACTAGCGCCATATTCAAAGCAAATCGTGACGTGTTTTGATTACGTTTGTGTACACTCGTACTCGATCGACTCTTGACTTGAGCTTATAATTATATTCGTATTCATTTTTGTGAGAAACAATGAATGATATCACAACCAAACTTATTCTATGCTTTTAATGTAGATTCTAGAAACTAGTGGAGTAATCTAACTGATTGAAATGAACAAGAAAACGAGTGGGGTCTCAGCTTCGACAAGTGTCACCAAGGCCAAGCAAACAACTCTATTTCAGAACTGGAGTTCGGGACAAAATGTTCGACAAAATCAAGGTTTTTATATAATATTGTTAAAGTTTTTTATGTTATGATAATGTAACAGTATTACTGCTGATATAATTATATCAAACCTCTGCCTTTTCTCTATTGTCTTTTTGTATTGACTCAATATGTGAAGGATGCAATTAGTGAATTACAATGTTTACAACTCCGCAGTTCTCCTGGGGCCCGTTCCTAGAAACCGTCATAAGTCTAACTTCTTGACTAAATCAGCGTTGGTGAGCAACTTGTCCGCTACGTGTTTCACCAAGCCCTCTTTGCCAAGATCAACGACAACATCCTGACTAAGGAGTTATGACACCTCTGACACCGTCGTATCTCTGTCATAACTATTTAGTCGATGGGCAGCGCCATCACATGTCATTTATTGGCTAGAGTATGGCTGGCACAAAAGGACAATAAATCCTCCATCTATGATTTTTCTACACATTCACTTAAACAGTGGGTTGTCGTTTTTTGTATTTGATAATCTGATAAAAATATGCCATGTTTGTATTTAAGGATATCCCCACATAAATAAACTGATTTTACGCCTTTATTTCCACATTGTAAACTCGTCGAAGGGATATGTATTTTGCCACGGCAGGCAAGCCATAGTTTGAAGTGTATTCTTTAGTTTTCAGACCCATATTGCTTTCGAGATAAATTCTATCTTCAAATGTGTAAAATGAATAGTTTAAAACATGTTTTTTTAACGTTTGGAATGTTGAAGTTTTGTCATTTGATTATTCAACTGACACCCAAAACATTGGACACAAACTTCATTACATCGTATTTTTCTAAGAATAATATATTGATGTATTTTTATAAACTATCAAACGAAAATATCCGGGGGTTACCCATCTCAAGAACAAAACTGATTCACCGGTCATGTAATGAAATACTCACAATTATATTTTACAAGTATTTTTATTGTATAATCTACTCAAATTTGGTAGTATATTGCATCTCTTATTTCTTGGTATCATTTTCAATCTTTTTTTTATTACTAATTCATTTAAATAATTGCATTTTCCCTAATATTAATTTTGTAATAATCTGGTGGTATTGCGACTAAGGCTAAGTCTCGGCTCCTATTCTCGCCGATAGTATCGATCTCACGAGATACTAGCTAGTAAGCTCTTCGTGAAACGGTTTAGGAAGATCAGAGACATCTCCGTAGTTGGCGGATAAAGTTATGACTGTCTTGTCGTTGGTTTCTAGGAACGAGCCCCAAGAGGCAAGAGTCCAAACCTGGAGTGGAGGGAATCGAGAAGAAGGGCTAGGCCTACAAGAGGTTTTTTCAATGTTTTAATGTTTCGGCAGCAAGGTGGCCAGATTGAATCTATTTTTACAAATTTGATGTTGAAGTTAGGCAGGTCTGTACGCAGCACATTAATTACATTAAAAATTAATTAAAGAGTTGGTCAGAACTCAAACTTTCCACAAATGAACTAGTCTAGGGTCTAGATCTAGGCCTAGCCCATACCAAAAGATAGCCATAAAAATAATTTCATCTGTTGTTGTTTCTTGTTTAAAGTCTCTGAATGTCCCGTACGTCACAATCCAAATAGCTTGGACCTGCCCAGTAACATTTTTGCCAAAATTAATATTATTTTTGCTCGCTTAATCATGCTTTGCATTTTGCTCATGAGCTATGAGTATGACATTTATAAACAGGATGGTTGATATTAAAGGTGAAATTCAAAGAAAATCACAAATATGTCAACTAATGTATGACTAGAAACTGGTAATCTAACAGATGGCCATCGTACAAGTTATAGGTCAACTACATATCGGGTGATTTATAAAAAATACAAATACAACCACCTCCATAGCAGCTGGGATATACCAGAGATTCGACGGAAAAATAACGATGTTTTAATGACATCACTATATGGACCAACACTGCCCAAGCAGACGACATCCCATAGAGAATGAACATAATTGCAAAGCTATTATTTGTCAAATTATAATGAGTTTAGTGTATATAAATGTAGTGGCATGTCAAACCATTCTAAAGGGGATATGACCCGATTCTGATAACTAAAATCTTTTGCTTGTAAATACACAGGATAGGGGGTAATTAACAATCAAAGAAACCAGACTTTCAAATTGAAAACCCCCTGGAATGATATTAAGGACGGCATTTGTTCCCTCTTGAAACGCTGAACATACCCCGGTGTGTGCAGCTGAATATACATTGGCGTCTTATTTTGTTAACAAGCGACAGCTTCCTTTATTTTTGTTTCGCTGCATTTGTCATCAAAATAAAAACATGCGCGGGGTTAAGAGTGAGGCAATAGATTATACATTTAGCCTGACGGTAGTGAAGTAAGAGAAAGAACTCAAGAAAAGATGAAAACACAGGCACTGAAAATGTGTGAGATGTCATGGGACATCGTCTGCTTGTGCAAGTCATGTCCATACTGTGATCTCACACATCTCAGCAGTGTTCGGAGAGCTCTTCCGGTGCTATGCCGGTGGTTTATTTAAGCGTTTTGTAATTTATAATGATCATTACTTCGAATGCTTCCAAACATTGAATTTTGATAACTTGTCGAATCAAAGTTTCAAATTTGCAATAATGGAAATAAATTTAGTTTGTAAAATCAATGAATATCAACTTTAAACCACCCTAAACATTGTCTGAACTTTTTTAGCTCGCTCAATCGAAACTCATTTGTGAAATTTATATACAAGATGGTTGATATTGCAGCCACAAGGCCTCACCCCCCCCCACCCCTCAATAAAATACGCTAGCTCATATGCTTATGATTTCCCTTGGTAGATCTATTTAGATCAAGAGTCAAGACTGTTGTGATATTTGTGTCATGATACTTATAGTTATTGCTACCCCGCCCACTGTATGGCCAAATATCAGAAAAAGAATGCAAATGATAAAATTAGAAGTGCTCAGTAAGGTTATCATTAGACATAAAAAGTGGTCTTTACCTTTCATATAAAAAAAGAATAGAGGGTCTAGTCTACATTGATTTTAAAAAGTGTCTTATTCTCAAATGTATTCTGTAAACTTATTTTATTTCGTACATACTTATCAGTATTTCGTTACTTGTATTTATAATTCATTTGTTCTATATTACTGTATGGTTTATATGTGTTATTTTAATCTATGGATATTTGAGTGGAAAAATAAATCAAATCAAATCATATCAAGGAATCACACACTTTCTCTCTTTCTAGATCAACAAAATGAGATGGATGACCAGCTTGATGAAGAAACACTCCTTGCAGCCTGCGAGGAGTGGGACATGGAAGAACTGCTCAATTCCTCTTCCTCTGGCCCACCTCCGCCTCCACAGGCTACACCTCTGGAGGATCTTCCTGGATTCGATGTCTCCACCGGCAACATCTACATCTACCCGATCAACTACCCCCTCAGAGATTATCAGTTTAATATCGTCCGCCAGGCCCTCTTTAAGAACACCCTGGTTACACTACCCACCGGTTTAGGCAAGACGTTCATTGCTGCCGTTGTCATGTATAACTTCTATCGGTCAGTACATAGTTGTTTATTTTTTTCTTGACATCCTTTTTTTTGTTCTCTTCAACTCTTTCATTCGTCTTGTGTGATCATATTGTCTTTTTCTGATTTCATTTTTGAAAATTCTTTCCAATTTTTTTCTTCCTTTCCTGACACCTCCACTTGAATTATTTCCCTATTTTTTTGTCACTTACTTTCTTCTTGTACTGATTTTGTTTTCATCATTTGTTTTTCTCTTTTTGATGCCATATCTTTGTAGTAACTGTAGTCTAGTAAAAGATATCTCTGTACATTGCTGTGTATTGTTTGTGGTGTTTAGAGGTATTGTGGTCCCCTGGAGAAGTCTCCTGATTGTGAATACTACAAGGTACAAGGTTTGAATCCTGTCACAGCACTAATGTCCTTTGGCAAGACATTAATCTACATTTGCCACACTCCATCCAGGTTTAGGGAAAATGGGAACATGGTAAGAATAAATTCCTTGAAATGCTAGGGTGCCATAATGGCAGCCATGCTAAAGCTGGGAATAATAGTGGTGTAGTGGTCGAGTGAATATGTCACCGGACTGTGGATCACAAGTTCCGCAGTTCAAATCCCGCCGCAACACTGATGTTCTTTGGCAAGATATTAATCTACATTTGCCACACTCGACCCAGGTGAGGTAAATGGGTACCTAGTAGGATTATTCCTGGAAATGCACTGTGTGCTGATTACGGTTGCTGGAGCTAAAGCTAGGGTAATAATTTCCAAAGCTCTTTGGAACTGAATATTATTATAATTCAATCTTATCTTCAATTGTTTTCTCTCCTCAATGACAGGTGGTATCCTAGAGGAAAGATTGTGTTCATGGCTCCGACCAAGCCGCTTGTCTTTCAGCAGATTGAAGCCTGCTTCAACATTATGGGTATACCTCAAGAAGATATGGTAGAAATGACTGGTAAGTATCCTTACCATTAGTTTTCTCTTCCTCTTTCTTCTCTCTGTCTCTCCCGCTATCTCTCTCTTCCTCTATTTTCTCTTTCTCATCTCTATCTCTGTCTGTCTGTCTGTCTCTCTCTCTCTGTCTCTGTCTGTCTCTGTCTCTCCCGCTATCTCTCTATTCCTCTATTTTTCTATTTTTCCCTTTCTCATCTCTATCTCTCTTTCTCTGTCTGTCTCTGTCTCTCACTCTCTCTCTCTCTCTTGCTGTCTGTCTCTCTCTCTCTCTCTAGATCTCTCTTTCTGCCTTATACTCTGTTTGCCTTAAATACTCTTTTTCTAACTCTTTAACATAGGCACACACTTTGAGAGCCTGGTCGATTCAAAATTGATATGTACTCATTGCTCAGCAGAACTACACATGTACAATGTACATGTATGCAAAGCATGGAATTCATAAGCTTTCTATCCATATTTGACTTTTTATCCTGACAAAATTCCTATCAAAACTAACTCCTGCTTCCTTAAGTTTTCTGATAGTGGTGTCAAAGTTTTCATACTTGTTCAGCTAGTAAGAGGGCTATGAGTGATTTTGTCTGGGGGGGGGGGGGGGATATGGCCAAACAAAATGTAGGGGTCATTGACTTGGGATTAAGGGTCAAGGGTCATATCAAGGTCATGTCACACTCTCAATAGCACCATATATTATGAAATCTGACTATGCTTTCCATTTCTACTATGGCAGGAAACATGCATCCACCTGAAAGGAAGAAAAGTTGGCAGGTGCAGAGGGTGTTCTTCTTAACCCCTCAGGTCATGACCAATGACCTCAGTAGAAGGGCGTGTCCTGCAACCGACGTGAAGTGTGTCATAGTGGATGAGGCCCACAAAGCTCTTGGCAACCACGCTTACTGCCAGGTGAAGATGAACGCTTCCTTGTTTAAAGGCTTCGTTTAGCAATGTTAAATCTGAGATGCATGGCCCTACGTGTTTATCAGTGTCTGTGATATGGTGTAATATTGAAGCCCTGAAAAAAAATTGCACTTTAAAATGATCATGAAGTGCCTCAAAAAAGTAAAAGACTTTGAGTGACCGGTCTTGCCATACTCATTTTCCCCAATAGACTGTAGTGTTATAAAAACCATTAGGAAAACAAAAAATTTGATTTCGATTTCAAATCATAAATACTTTGATAGTCAGACAGGCGATTGGCTTGTAAAAGTCATGGAGTTCCTGATTGACGTAAAGGTTTATAATTATCATTGCAGCATGAGCTAAATCCAGGATTTTGTTTCAGAATCTGAGGCAATGTTACAGAGTCACTTTAATGCCACAGTCACACCTTCGAATCAACCCCAAATTGTCAGATTTTTAGCCATTTAGGTAATGGAATATAGTGTTTGGTCTGTTTCAGGTCTGATGTCGGTGTCATCTGTGTGACTGTGGTATTAATCACACTTTATGAAAATTATTATTTTAAACAAAAAATGTTTTGGTGCAGAAAGTCAGAAAAAGGGTGGGTAAGAACTCTCAAAATCTTTTAGAGCCCTTGTGATGTATTACCTGAAAGAAAAAAAAATCTGGAAATTTTGAAGATATGCATCTGGGAAAGTGATGACTTACACAGTTTTTCTTAAAGCCCCACTGTACTGCTTGTAGCTACTGGCTCCCTCTATATAGAAAACGAGCCTAATCGGTGACCATTGGTCCCCCATGATCCTCTTTTTCTTATGTTAATCGAGAGCTGAGTTGATGAGATAACCACCTGTCAGTAAGCACCCTGGGTGGTCTAATCCCTCCTAGCCAAACTAGTACAGACGGTCTTTAAACAGATTATAAATATATGGCATTTCACTTGTGTTCACTGCCCTGTCAATCTTACAGTAACATTCAGAACATTTCAGGCCTAACCCTTGGACTGTTTGCTTAAAATATCATTGTCATTGGCTCATAGCTCATGCCTATCATGAGAGCTGTATGCAGTGTCTAACTATCCAGGGGGGTGTTTCACAAAGACTAAGATTGACTTTAAGTTAGACTTAACTATGGCAGGCCGTTCATGCCACTGTTTGCCCTCACCATTTACTGGCATTGGTCTCTCAAGGGACTTACAAATCATGGTCACAAATCTACAGAATTTACATTTTTTGATAATTCATAAATGAAGGAAAAATATTATTTATAGATCATAATTGAGAGACCAATGGTGAGAGCAACCAGTGGCATGAATGGCCTGCCATATTGAAGTCCAACTTAAAGTCGATCTTAGTCTTTGTGAAACACCCCCCTGATAGATGAAGATGATAATACCCCACTGTAAAACATAAATGCAGCAATTTAGGTATAGACAACAATAGTGAACCCCTTCAGTTAACACTAACAGTGATAATGTGACTTTATGATTTTTTTTCTTCGTTTGTTCATTTCATCTCCCTCTAAGGTTGTACGTGAATTGTCAAAATACACCAGCCAGTTCAGGGTGCTAGCCCTTAGTGCAACACCAGGTGGGGACATAAAGGTGAGTTAAAGCCCCACTGCACTACTTATAGCTACTTGCGCCTTCTATACAACCAACAATGCCTAAGTAGTACCCGTATGATGCCCTTTTTCTTATTTCAATTGAGAGCTGATTTGATGAGATAACCACCTGCCAGTGACCTTGCAGAGAGGTCTAATCCCTCCATGCTAAACTAGTGCCGAGGGGCTTTAAAGTAGTATGCACAGACCAAAGACTTGGGCTGTGACTTCCAAAAAGAATTGTTTTCTTTTTTTCTTTGATTCTTAAGACTGATTTTTTTATTTTATAGTGACATTTCTTCGCAACCATTTAAGTAGGCCATTATCATAATATAACCACATGTAATGCATACGTCTTTGTGCCTCAATACCAACCACTTCAGTCACCCACCACAAAAAATTGTATTCCAATGGTCAGAATGAAAATTGCATACAATTTGTGTTGCCAACCTCTGGAATATCAGATGGATGAAACAATTCCTATTGAGGCACTTATTAAACAAAGACTTATAATAATATGGTTATTTATATAGCGCCGGTATCCGTCAGGTTCCGACGCTCATGGTGCTTTACACATATCACCCTGGTCGTAGCCAAGCTGCCAAACTTATGGATCAAACTTTTTTGTTTCTTCATATTATTTGCCTGTACTTGTAAAACAAATTGGCTTTCTATTCATTTGTACATACTCTGATGAGTTCAAGATGAAAAGCATAGATATGCCTTCTTCAACACTACTCTCCAGAATAAATGAGATACTTCCTTGACAATTCTCCATCTTTACCTTTACAGGCAGTTAATCAGGTCCTTAGCAACCTTCTAATATCTCACATTGAGATTCGATCGGAGGACTCGATAGATATCAAGCAGTACGTCCATGAACGGAAGGTGGAGAAAATAGTTGTTCCTCTCGGAGATGAGCTCAAGCAGGTCAAAGAACAGTATCTTCAGGTAACAACCCACAACCCTTTACTTCAATGCATTTTAGCTATAGTGAAATTCATTTGCTAACCCATGCAGTTCAGTGTCGCCTTTAAAGGTATAGACCAGTTTTGGAAACGCCCCCTCTCAAATAATGAAATGGAAGCTCTTATTACCAATCATATGAAAGAATATGTTTTGACTAATACGTGATGATACAAATTTTGCCAGGAAACCGCATACTAATTGATATATTTGGTAAATTACTATATCTATCCTGACTGGACAGATATTACATAGTCCCATATACCGGTACATCTTTCTGTGTACAGTGCTTGTAACTTTACCAAGACTGGGCCAAATTTCTTATCATTTTGATGATTCCAGAACCTTGCAGTACACACCAATACTTATATGCTAGATGATCAACCTTTTCTGATCGATTCCACAACCTTTCTTTTACAATGCAATCGCATGACCAGAACTGGTCTATAACTTTAAGCGTTGCTTTAGCATTATCTTTTGGTCCAGAGTATTATGAATTACATTTATATATGAGCAGAAGACCAAAAGTCATAGAAACTTTTTGTTTCTTTTGCAATACATTGTGCCGTTCATGAATTATAGCAATTTAATTGAAAATAAGCATTCAAGTATCTACGGTGGCAATGCAGAGTTGAATCCCTTCTTTTGTGTATATGTGTTGCATATTACATTTACTCTATGAATATATGTTCTGTCATCTGGAGGAGGGGGTGGAGTAGGTTGAGATGAGAATTTGAATAGAAGGCAAAAATATTCTTATTCTTCATGATAATATGAGAAGGTCATTTGAGACCATTACCTTAAAGGAAGGGTATTTAACCGACATCGCTAGCACTGCTGTAATGTATTTTCAATTTTCGTCTGTTGGTGGTGGCGTACGTAGAGCGATTTCCAGTTCCTGTCTCACAAAGGCTAATATCCTCTTTAAGTTGTACTTTACTATTGCAGGCCATTCATGCCACTATTTGCTCTTACCATTATGATCTTTAGATTAAAAAAAATCACCAAATATAAATTCTGTAGATTTGTGACCATGATTTGTACATCCCCTGAGAGACCAATGCCAGTAAATGGTGAGAGAAAACAGTGGCATGAGCGACCTGCCATAGTTAAGTCCAACTTCAAGTCAATCTTAGTCTTTGTGAAACACCCCCCAGTTCTTTAGAATTTGTTTGTATTCAATTGCCAAGAGTGTGCACTCTGTTCTCTCTTCCTAGATCATAAAAGTGTTTGTGAATCGGCTGGTGAGATGCCGTGCCCTTTTCTGTCGTGACCCCGAGACCCTGTCCAAATTCCAGATTCTGAAATCAAGAGAAGCCTTCAGGCAAGACCCACCACCAGAGATCACAGTGAGTTGTAGCACCTTAGTATCAGGCCTTATAATTACCCGATTTAAATCTGTTTTTACTGATCTTTTTGTTGTTGTTTTTTTTCCACCGTTTTTTTTTTTCCCTCCTGATTTTACTCCTTTTTCCCAATTTTTCCCTATTTTTCCCTATTTTCCCCCAATTTTCTTACTCGAAAGGGGGGGGAATGTTGTTAGATGCCACTTTCCCCCCCCCAAAATCCTTTTTTTGATTTTTACTCAAGGGGGGGGGGGGGTAAATCACTTTAACCCCTGTAGTATACCGTAGAATACAAGGCTTTTACAAGCCTAATCAATTTGTCACACCATGTAGTAATAATGATTAATAAATTCTAATGATTGTAAATTTATATTGCACGTTCTATACAGATATTCTTTATAACATGCATTATGATGTAACAAGAACAAAATGGAAAATTGTTGTCAATACTCTGAATTTCTTAATATTTTCATTAATTTGTTAGAGGTAATGAAACTTTGTTAGTTCTGAAAGTCCGGGCAATTTAAAGTGTTTGAAATTTTCTCAATTGAGAACTGATGGAATGATGCCCCAAATAAATATGATGACATCCCCAACCAAAGGAAACCATGGATAGGAACAACAGTGAGTTACACAGTCATGAATTTTAAGCAATTCTCTTTTTCATCAGGCTGCTAGGAGAGGTCCAATTGAGGGCGACTTTGCCATCTGCATGAGCCTGTATCATGGCTTTGAGCTTCTCCTTCAGCATGGGCAGCGCTCCCTCTACAGCTTCCTTCTCGGCACCATCGATGGGTCAAAGGGCAACGCTAGGAAACGGTCCGAGCTCATGCGGAACGCCGACTTTTCCAATCTCATCGAGACGCTGGAGGCAAAGTATGCAGGATCCATGAACACCAGTCACAATACCAGCCATAATACTTCCTCCCACAACTCCAGCGGATTGTTTACGTCCATGAGTTCTCCGTCGTCAAGGGCAACAGGGTCGAAGGGCATCGGTGGATGCAAAGAGGAAGTGGAGGAGTATGTCAGCAGCCACCCCAAGATAACAAAGCTGAAGGAAGTCGTTTTAGAACACTTTGAAAAGTTCACATCAGGTAAAGAAATGGAATTAAACTGCTGTACATTTTGAAGCTGTAAATCGAATGCCAATTTGTCAGTTACCATAGCAACAGAGTAAACACTTTACAAGGTGTGAATGTTTTGAATCTATTACCTTTCTACCCCCCTTCCAATCCATGGGTAATCGATCACACCAAAGAATAGAAATACTCTGTTTGAAATAAGAATTGTTTTTTCTCCCTTAAAAGGATAGATACAATGTATATGTATGTCATTTGTAAAAGTTGTTTGCATGGAAGATATTTAGAGTCATTTCAACAATGAAACTAAGAAAATGCATCAGTTTTACTTGTAGATGGTTGATTCTTATACTTAAAAACCTTGTCGCACAGAAGGCTGCAATCTTTACAAGCCAAAAAGTTTTAGAGAATCAAGTACTGCTCACAAATGTGCCTTTAGCAACAGGCAAATACGTAATGTGTGAATTTTATCTGTATATGAGTGAATGTGATTTTAAAGGGACTGGGTAACTTTGCCTCAGATTCTTAAAATTTTTCTGGATTTAGCTCATGCTGCAATCATAATTATAAACCTTTAGGTCATCGCCTGTCTGGTTATCAAGATATCTATGACTGGAATTAGACATTTCAGATTTCCTTTTCCTAACGGTTTTTATAACACTACAGTCTAATGGGGAAAATGAGTTTGGTAAAACCGGTCACTCAAAGATTTTACTTTTTTGAGGCACTTCATGATCATTTTGAAGTGCAATTTCTTTAGGGCTTTAGTATTACACCATAGCACAGACACTGATAACATGTAGGGCCATACATCTCAGATTTAACATTGTTAAACGATGCCTTAAATAGTTGCTGATCAAGGATATTTCCCAGCATGATTCTTATAATGTGATTTCAATTACCCAGACCACAAAGCAGAAGAAGGGCCGTCGACCAGCAGCAAGGCTCCTAGTAGACCCAGCACCAGAGTGATGATCTTTGCACAGTATCGTGATAGCGTCCAGGAGATTACCCACATGCTCAACCGTCACAGGCCTGCGGTGCGTTGCATGAGCTTTATAGGTCAGGCCTCAGCGGGGAAGAACACCAAAGGATTCTCACAGAAAGAACAGATCAGGGTAAGATGCTGCTTATAAGTATCGGCTTGCATGGTGATATCGATATACAGTAGGCTTGCGGTTGCACCATGTGAGAGAGGGAGGAGGATTGGGGAGACCTGGAAAGGACTCTCGGTAAACTTTTTTTCTTGAGGGTGTGTAGTCCTGAAAAGGACTGTTGGTAACCTCTCTTAGCTTACAGTTTTAAGGAGAACTATAGCGCTGCTTGGAGAGGATGGGTAGTAGGAGTGGCTCGACGTTTCGAACAGGTTGATTATCCGTCATCAGGAGGGATCAGAGTAATTCAAACACAATTCTCAAGTTCTTTCAGAAGTTTAGGGCCTTGTCTTATAAGGAGATGTTGTGGTCGATATAGATTGATCGCAATTCTATCATACCAGCGCAAACTTACAAACTCCTCTCTATCTTAATAGTGCATAGTTGTGATTGATATCAAGTTTTGAGAATTTGGATCAATCATAATTGTAATCAAGACAGGGTTCCGATTCTTAAACCATTCAGTATTTCAGTTGTGCCCAAAAAACAGTATTTTGAGCAAGATTATAGGTACTGCTGACACCTATGTGTAGGAGCAGTTCCTTTAATGCTATGAGCAAGCACTGATATCTGTAGCTTAGCTTAAGCCTGGGTGATATTAGAGAGCCTTGAGTATTTTGCATGAAAGATACAAGCATTATACAAGTAGCCAATATTAATTGCTATTATTTTTGTAATTATTGTCATTAAAACTCCAAATCACTCTTAAAATTAATTTGGTGCTCAACTTTTATTGAAGCTCTCATTTCTTGTGAAACAAATACTTTGTGTCAACCATGAAACCTCACTCACATGAAGACATTCAATCTTTTGTTCCCTCTCTGCTGTCAAATCCAGGTGGTCAGTGAGTTTAAAAATGGCGGCTACAACACCTTGGTCTCTACATGCGTTGGAGAGGAAGGGTTAGACATTGGTGATGTGGATCTGATTGTATGCTTTGATGCTCATAAGAGCCCTATCAGACTGGTCCAGAGGATGGGAAGGACCGGGAGGAAGCGAGAAGGCAGGATTGTCATGCTGGTGACAGAGGGCAAAGAAGCAGCAGTAAGTTCACTCAAACTTTACTACTGAAAGCATCATTTAACAATGTAAAATCTGAGATGCATGGCCCTACGTGTTATCAGTGTGTGTGATATGGTGTAATATTGAAGCCCTAAACAAATTGCGCTTCAAAATGATCATGAAGTTCCTCAAAAAAGTAAAAATCTTTGAGTGACCTGTTTTACCATACTCATTTTCCCCAATAGACTGCAGTGTTATGAAAACCGTTAGGAATTGCAACATTTGATTTCGATTTCCAATCATAGATATCTTGATAATCAGACAGGCGATCGGCTTGTAAATGTCATGGGATTCATGTGTGCCCTAAAGGTTTATAATTATGATTGCAGCATGAGCTAAATCAAGTTTTTTGTTGAAGGATCTGAGACAAAGTTACCGGATCCCTTTAAGAGGCTTGCTTACATATGAGATAGTCAAATGTGGCAGTTACTGCAGTGTGGATTTTATGTGTCCATGAATGGTAAATGGGGATGAGAAAAATCTATCTGCATGTAAACAGGTTCCCAAAAGAGTACAAACATATTTGCAGGTTGTAACATACAGAAATACGAGGCACACTTTAATTATGCATGCAAGAAAGTTTTAGATACTAACCAAATCTACTGAACTCGTTTTTCATCAAGATTCATGAAAATGGGGAAGTCATTGTTCAGGTTTAAAGTCACTCAGTAGTCAGCTCCCATGGGGAATTCGACACCGTTCAGGTATTACCCAATAACAGGTTTTGTCAATCACCTTCAGTTTTATGACCATTGGACCTTATGTAATGCTTTGCTTTGCCCGAAGACTCTCGAGCTCTTCGAGAGATTAGGGGGTAATTCTTGACTGGTTTGCTGTGTGCAGATTTGTAATCCCATTAATGGTATTTCCACCAAGTCTGGTGTCAGCGAATTATGGCCTTCTGCACATGGAAACTGACGTTCTACTCCCTTCAATGTGAGTATCTCCATTTCATGTTCATTGGGGTATACTTTAAGAGACAGCCATGTAAAATCATAACCCTCCCAGGTTCTGAATGATTTGATGATTCTTCTCCCATCTTGTTCCCTCCCTCCTGCAGATCTATGATCGCAGTCAGTATAGCAAGAAGGGGATCCACAGAGCCTTGCAGGGTAGCAATAAGTCCCTCCACCTCTACCCCTGCAGTCCAAGAATGGTTCCAACGGAGCTTAATGATGAATGATTTGATGATTCTTCTCCCATCTTGTTACCTCCCGCAGATCTATGATCGCAGTCAGTATAGCAAGAAGGGGATCCACAGAGCCTTGCAGGGTAACAACAAATCCCTCCACCTCTACCCCTGCAGTCCAAGAATGATCCCAAGAGGGCTCAACCCCACCGTTCATAAGATGAACATCAAGGTGGGAGAGTACCACAGCAAGCACAAAACCAAAATGGCTGCTCCTTCTTCCAGCCTCAACACCACCACCATCAAAAGCAAGAGGAAATCCAGTATGGGTGGAGATATATCCAGATTTCTCCAAGGAAGTAAGAGCATTGTGTAATAATAATTCTAGTGCATATTTTACCTGACTGCTAAGAAAGCATAAATGCTTGTTAGTTAGCAACCAGGGGACTGACGGCTTTAGGTCCTCTCTGAGGGACTTGGTAATGAGGGTTAATGCCTTACCAAAGGGCACTAGCGCATCGACTTGGTTTCGAACCTGGGTCGCCGGATTACGAGACCACTGCTCTACCAACTGAGCTATTGAGCCTCCGTTTCTAAGAGAAATATTCTTTTCCACACCATCCACATATTCTTCGAAAAGAACAGAATCGCCATCCATGATCGTATTCCTTACCCACTGATCTAAGAGAACCAAAATATATTAAGATTCCTAAGACAAAGGCTGGTATTCATAAAAGAGTACTAATTTTCACTCTTATTTGAACCCTGACTTTTAAATAGTCCATTGTCATATGGAGCACCAAGTGTCGTCCTCTTCATTGTATACAATGATACCCCTATTCTGTAACGAAATAAACACACAAAGATTATGTCAGAAATTAACTGGATTCATTGCATTATTCATTTTGTTACAGAATTGAAGTCATTTTTACATGATAAAGGTTATCTCTTTGTTTTTCATAAGTTCTATAAATTCTACAATTAAATAAAGACAATTTTCTACTGCACCTTCCCCCCCCCCCCAAAAAAAAAAATAATAATAATAATAATAACTCTTCACACTGACACAGATTTTAAAAAATATATTTATTGTGCATTGTTCTGTTGAAATATTTAAATACATCAAATAAACTAATCAAAATTCTTTATATTGCTGCCTTAAATATTGTCAATTCTTGGAAACAAAAATGATTTAATGTACAAAAGCACAATGGGTTTTACACAACACAGAAGAAAACATCGCTGAATATTATCATGAATCAAAAGTAAATGATATTTTTTAAAACAAAACTTTTAATCCGTTATACCAATCAATATAATGTTTCCTGTCTCGTATTATTCTATCTCTTAAAGCCAAAGCCGACGCTGCAGAGGATGTATTCCTTACCTATGAAGAGCTTGCCTTCTGGAACCTCCATTACAAGGTCGATCAAGAGGAGCTACTCAAAGCACCACAAAGAACTCAGTTCCTCTCCCTGAACAAGCAAGCAGTTCAAGAGGTAAATTTCAATTTAATGACATACTGATTTGCTTTGTATTTCTTTGAGAACACTGAAAGGATGTTAGAAAAAACAACATTTGTAGAATATTTACTGACTCTGATGGGGATATGAAACCATATTACCTGAGGATGATATTATCAAGGGCAATGTTGTTTTATGTAATCACCAAAATGAGCCACTCATTATTATTTTAATCTATCCTATTTTTATTATAATAGTATCAGGTACAAGATCCTGGATGTTAGACAAAAGACAGTAATATAATCTGATATTTTTTTGGACTTTTTTTTTGGAGGGGGGGGGGGGGGTCTTCTTTTGAGGTACCTTATTACATTATATCATCAACAACTTTGCATAAAGGACTCAAAAGTGATTGAATAAAAAGAAAAAATATGTGTATAGAGTGAGAGAGATAAAATAAAGTATACAAATGCATTAAAGATTAACTTAAAGCCCCACGGCACTAGTTTGGCATGTAGGAATTAGACCTACCTGCAAGTTCACTGGCAGGTGGTTATCTCATCAAATCAGCTCTCAATTAACATAAGAAAAAAGGGCATCATGGGGGATCAACAGGTACCGCTTAGGCATTGTTGGCTGTGTAGAGGGCGCAAGTAGCTATAATTAGTGCAGTGGGGCTTTAAAACAGATCTTTCTTCAGAGTACTTATTATATCAACTCTTTTGGGGTTTTACATTGCCTAGTGGCATAAGTCATAAAAACCATTTTTTAATGTCATCTAAATTGAATGACTGTTAAAGGATTTACTTCCAAAGTGATCTAGCATATATACTTTTAAAAATGCATACTGTGCATAGATAATCAATACATTTGTGAACATAAAATCTGAGTCATCAATGTTTAAACCAATTATCAAGAATACTTAATATTACCAGGTACAATATATTCTTTGTGACAAATTTAGGAATAGGGCTTGTAACTGGCAAAAACAAGGGAATAGGATTTTACTGTTGCTGGATTTCTTAAATACTTTAAAAGCAATACCAAGTGTTTTACCAGGTGTGCACTTTGTTCTGATTAATGGCTGCCATAGCTTTATCTAGGGTTAAAAATACCAAACTGCTGTGGGACCCCATAGGGACATAGTATTATAATAACTTTTATAACAGATTATTAACTGTATCAGACATCTGAGCAGGGCAATTTTTAAATGAGGTTTGATGGATAAGCCATCAGGCGAAAAAAATATTATTGACCGCTCAGAAAAGTCAATCTGATTTTGTGTGTAATTTGCCGGTCAATACGGTTATACAGTAAACTAATGAACAAATATTATTGCTCGATCTGAAAAGTCAATGGCAAAATGCGTGTTAAACTAGTGAGCAATAGTGAGCCAGTTGTAATTTACATCGCGCATCAGCTACTGTAATTTACATCGCGCATCGCGTATAAGATAATGCGCACTTTGCGCGAACTCTATTGTGACATAACAACCACACCCTAGACACACTGTTTGCAGTGTATCAAAAATTTGTCAAGCTCTGGATGCACAGTGCTGGTTTGACAATGTTTTTGCAACTTCTAGTGTTAGGAAACCCTGTGCAGTGTAGGCTACATAATTTAAGAGTATAAGATAGTATGAGTTTCTTGTTTGCTCTAGATGTCTGATGTGGTTAATAATAGTAATATTGACTGCCTAATTCAGGGCAATACGACTTGTCATATATCACCCTCACCTTCGGGGCGACATATGTCGTATTGCCCGGAAGGCAGTCAATATTACTTAAATATAACTAATATTCATTAATCTTGTCTTCCCTACAGGTTTCCTTGCCAAATGACAAGGAGCTGTCACTTAACTCCTTTGCAGAGTGGCAAACTAACAAGCAGCTGACCCACAAGGTTTCCCATTCACGACGCTGCGATGTCTTTGTGGAAATGATGGAATTCCTTGAGATACAAGGTCACACCGAAGACGAGGATATCTATGGGGCAGAAATGGTGCTTTACTTGGATGAAGGGGATGTACTGAGAAAGAAGGAAACAGAGAAGAAAGGAAAGGAGGGGATCCTGAGATACTGTTCTCAGGAAGGCAAGAAAAAGAAGGATAAGGACATAGTCGTAGATGAAAATGAAGGAGATTGCAATCAAAATGAAAGGACTAGCAAATCAAAGAAAAGGGCGAGAGGTCAGAAGAAAGTAAAGAGTACATCTTCAGAAGCAGAACTTCTTGGTAGTGATGATGATCTTCCTGCTGTGGACCTCTTCAGTGAACCTAGTGAAAGACAAGACAGAAACTCAGAAAAGACTGAGAAGCACAAAGGTAAAACAGACAGGAAGAAGAGCAAAAAGTCATCTGATGATGGGAGCAGTAGTGATGGGAAGGCAGGAGGCAGGAGGAACAGTAAAAGTCCAAGGGGTGGGCAAGACAGCAGACTAAAGAGAAAACCGATACCGTTGCCGTGTGATTCCGATGAGGATGATTTTGACACTGACAGGAGAAGTGTTACCCCTCCAAGACTTCTCGGTGCTAGTACAACAGGTGAACTTCATCAACCGAAAGTGGTTAAAACGGAAGAGAGATCGACTGGTCCAGATCAGGATGGACTCCAGGACGAACCTATGGACACTGCGAGTGATGATGACCAGGCTGAACTGCCTTTGAAACCTTGCACAGCTCCTACAAGCAGCCCGTCCAAGAATCACCAGGAGTGTGCCAAGAGTGACACGTCTTTGAATACTTCTGATATCTTTCTCTCTTGCACCCAAGCCTTCAGAGCCCCTGTGGTTCCTTCAGGGGCATCAAGAAAGGACAAAGGTAGATGTGAAAGTACAAGTGATGACGGAGAAGATGACCTGATGCCACCCCCTCCACCTTCCCTCTCTGGTCTTGATCTTCTGGATGATATTGATCTGTCATTCAATGCCTCACAACTTGCCAGAGAAGACACATGGAAAAGGAGTTCACCAAAGAAAGAGCCTCACAAACCAGGGATAGGAGTAGATCCTGATGAACCTCTGATTGCTTCATCTCTTGGAATGAATGATAAAGGCAGCCTGGAATGGGAAGAGCATGAAGAGGAACAAAACACAAGGACAAAACATGTTACAAGTGAAATGCTCTGTAGCTCAATACAAGATGAGAATAGAACTGATATCAGCAGTGCAGTAAGACGTGGCAGAACTTATGGTACGGATATAGAGTCGGGTGCTGTTAGTCCAAATAGTGATAAGCCTAGGAATAAAAATGTAATAAATCATAGAAAATTCCTAGAGGCTGGCATTCAGAAAGTAGGTGAAGTTGTCTCCAACAAAGAGAAAGGCTCTATCACTGCAGAAGAAACTGGTGATGAGGAGGAGATGAAAAATATTGCAGTTGAGCTTGTGGAGGCGTGGGACAACTTTGAGGGGGATATCTTTGACGATGATGATGTTGATGATGAGCCTGTATCCAATAACATGACCAAATCTCCGGTCATTTCACCAAAAAGTAAGCAAGTTGTAAGAAGAACAGTGGATATTAAGAATGGTTCCATGGCTATTAAATCACTTGAAGCCTATTCTGAAGAAGACACAGACCAGAGAACTGGATTCAAAGTTTCCGCAGCATCTCATGGTATTAGACCATGCACCAACTCAGAACCGCAGAAGAAGTTACCCATAGAGGCCAGACAAAGCTCTGTAACACCAGAGAGGTCAGTAAACAGGTCGGATCATGACCAAGAGATAAGAGGTGCTGCTGTTTGCAGCCCCGGCAATGAACTTCTGAAAATCCAACCACAACTCAAACATGCAAGCACAGGAGAAAATAAGATAAAGCTTACACAACAACCCAAGTTTGATCTGGGTTTTGACTTTGGCGATTTTTTCGATATGGACGATATGGATGATGAGGCCTTTGACGAGATTGGAATTGTCCCTCCTTCGCCTCAGGTCAGCCAGAAGAGGTCAGGGTTCATGGCGATGTCACAAGTGTCAAAGTCTACAATCAGGCCAGAAATTGGCGCAAGGAATCATCACCGAGTCACAGCTGTAGCTTCATCTGTTGAATCCAAAGTGAATGAAGGAATTAAGAAACAAGAATTCAAGCCTAAAGGTAGTCCAACTCCTCAGAATCAATTCAGTTCAGCAAGAGAAGCAGCTGCTTTTGGTGATGAAATTCATGCTTTGGAAGCATCCAAAATATCTAAGATAGAAGGCAAGGCGCCTTCCTTGAGTAGGTTTAAGCGTAACCCGATGCATTCTGTAAACCCAAATAATCTCCAAGCGATGGAGTCTTTGGCGCCACAAAAGAAAGTAGAGACATCTCCCGAGAGGTCTGGTAAAACGTGCATGGATACAACAGTGAAGATGGAGCAACACCCTGTAGCTTCAACTCCAGTATTGTCAGATGTCCCAAGGGGTGGTCTGAGGCATCAAGGTAGTACTGTATCCCCTATTGGACAGTCTGGTCAAGGAGATGGACAGTCTGGTCAAAGAGATGTTAAACAGGTGGAGACTCCTAGCTCACATCTGCAGAAGGCAAAACCCTTAGGTACACAGCGCAGCAGGCTCAGTATCAAGAGAAAGGATGGTGCAGGACCGAAGCAAAGTGCCGGATCATCCATCCCAGATCAGTCTTCCAGACCGGCAGCTCTTCCTGGCAAGAGGAAAAGTTCCCCTCTAGTTGATGAAGGACACTTTGAAGATACCTTAGTATCCAATCCTCTGAAAAGGCCAAAGACATCCTCCAAGCAAGAAACCAGCCTTTCGCTTGACAAAACAGAAGGGTATGGCATGAAGCCATCTTTGGGACATGGAGGTGGGAAGATGGTAGAGAAAGATGATATTCACCTACTTCTTGAAGACATTGATTGGGAAGAATCTCTCGTAGCCGATGACACGCTTACAAAACCTGGAAAAGGGATTCATAGATTGGAAAGTATCAGAGATGCTACGGGTACCACAAAATCTAAGACAGGTGAGATTTAATGGTTCCTTTATATTGCTCTTTTGAAAGTTTCTTACTTTTACTTTTGAAGACTTACTTAAATTATTGCTTTAGAATTATTATGTGAAGGATAATAGACTAATGTACTTATGAATGTTTTAATATGAACTGGCCATTGTTCGGTGGAGCGATTAGTAGTAAAAATGTGTAAAATGATTTGATATGTTCTCAAATTTAATTGAAACTATCAAATATTCTACTGTGGAATGGACTTTGTTACATGAACTTGAACTGAAACAATACGTTTGACGCTGTGTATTTTTACAGTAATTAAAAAAAAATGATAACCATTGTAATGCAATCGGTGTGTTTATTATAGTTGTATCTGTCAACTTTTCACCTGATGCACCTTTCAATGGACAATTTAATATTGAGGTCGGGAAGTAGGAAATGCTGCCAAAACTTAAGTGGAATATTGTTATGTAAGAAAATGGAACCATAGATATTACCTTGTTATATTTAAAACTTGTTTTATTAGGGCTCTAAATAGAAGTGGGACTGACATAAATCACTGTGTCATAATAAAAGTTTTGTTCTAACAGTACTCTTTATAACAAATTTCCGCTGTTCATTTATCTTGTACTTTTTCTCATTCTCCTTTTTTAAAGGCTCCCATTCTTCCGACGATGATGATACTAATCTTCGCCTACATCATGAAGATAATGATGAAGAGAGTGATGACAGTGAAGATATCATTGGAAGAGTTGCTAAGAAGAAAAGAGCTGTGGTATTGACGTCACCTGACACACCCACAACATTTAAGACACCACTTCGCTCACGTCATGCTGTAACACCATTATCTGTCAAAGAGGTAAAGTGTCTTAGGATCATGTATTTTTGACCACTCTGTCGTCAAATTATGTGATGCCTTATACAGTAACATAATGAATTGACACATGGATAATTCTTCGACCTGTATCTTCATGTAGCAAAATTTGATTATTATTCTAAAAATGATGCAAATTTTGACCAAATAGACCAGTTCACATTTAGCACATGTCCCAAATGACCCTGAATATCCACAGATCTTCAAAATATGAAGAGGTCCCACTTTGTACATTTTGAAATAAGCACTCCTACAGCGATGAAGGTACTACATAAATAGCCTTTGTTTCCCCTTTTCAAAGAATACTTCCACCTGTGTATCATGGAGTGCACTGCTTGTGCATAAATGAATAATGATTACATAACTTTCATGAGCAGTATTTTGTCTCTGTGTATTTTTCACAATGTAGTTTACAAAGACCTTTATCTGCTCATGCTCAGACTTCAACCAGGAAGATTACACTTTAGGTGTTCATGATTTATGTGATACATGGTAACTTACAGGACATGAAATGATCAAATACCGTGGATTGATCCATGTATTTTGTTTCCTACATGCAGAAGTGTGTTCATGTCTTGTCTGGCTCCTCTTCAGACGATTCTTTCTTCATCATTCAGCCTAAGAAGAGAAAAGCTAGGAAGATACTTGATATGAGTAGTAGCATCATAATACCAGAAGAAGACGATGACTTTCAAGGTATACCATTATTGATGATGTTGCTGTTTACTATGAATCAGGCCTGATAAAAACCTGATTTAAAAAAAAAAATTACCCTATTTTTTTTTAAATCCTATTTTTTTTCTTTTTTATACTTCCTAATTTTATCCCGATTTTCCCTTATTTTCTCTATTCTCCCCTATTTTTCCCTATTATTTCCCAATTTTTCTTACTAAAAAGGGGGGAATGTTGTTAGATGCCATTTCCCCCCCCCCCTCCCCCCCCCCCCCCGAACCCTCTTCTTTTTTTTTAGTGCTCACTATCATCCCTGCTATGAATGGAATTAATTGTATAATATTTTTATAAAACCTAATTGCATTGTAAAGAAGTAGTACTGAATTATAATTATGTTACATTTCAGCATCTGATTTGAAAATTAAAAAAACACTTTTTTTTTTTTTTTTTCTAGTTATTTTTTCTTACACTTATACTTGTAAATGCTAGAAATTACTGAATTATAATGAAAGATTATGAATGATTATGAATGATAATGAGGTAGTTAACCGCTATTGTATTATAATTACAATTTTGGAAAAGATTTTGAAAAGTGGTTAGGATCAGAATTTTGATTCTTTAAGATTAAAGATATTTTGTCCCTTTTGCAAACCTGAAAACCTGAAGTTCCATGAATCCATTGGAATATTCAAGAGGTCTAAGTATCACACAATATCTGAAGGATATATTTTAAGCACTTGCCAAGTTTGAAGTTTGCTCAAGTCTGCAAGACAGACTTTCTGCTTTAATGATTGCTTATTCAAACCAGAGCCATCTATACACAGAGTTTGGCCAACCCGTTCGAGTTAGACACAATATGGTGACTACTGCTATGTTGGGCAAGCACAAAACAAAAGAATATACGCCATGTTGTGACCCAGTGAAACCAAGTTGGCCAAACTCTGTTTATAGATGGCTCTGGTTTAAACCAATCAAAAGTTGTGACCAAAAGAAGATGCATACAGTATATGCATTATTCATGCTGTCTCAGATTTAATTTGATATGTTGCATCTGTTTGGTTTCTGCAAATGCCCTTTAGACCCTGCGAAGCAGATTGTGCAAGCTAAGGTGGTCAGGAACATTGAAGGAGAGCACAGGAGAGATGATGTTCCACTCAAGCAAAGAATAGAAATGAAGGAAAGGAGAAATAAACACAAGAAGGTTAGTATCAAGTTTGGTTTGATAACATCCCTGGGGATTGTTTCACAAAGACTAAGATTGACTTTAAATCTACAGAATGTACATTTTTTTTTATAGTTCATTATTGAAGGAAAAAATATTATCTAAAGATCATAATTGAAAGACCAATAGTGAGAGCAACTAGTGGCATGAATGGCCTGCCGTAGTTAAGTCCAACTTTAAGCTGATCTTAATCTTTGTGAAACACCCCCAGGAATATGTTTATTTATATACTTATGAGTGATAATAAAATTATTTCATGAGTTGAAAGCTGCAGCTGTTCTATTCAACAAGGCATAGCTGAGATGAATGTAACCTTGCATCTTGAATTACACAGTTTTTCCATGTCATAAATGAAAAGCATTAAATATCTGTTTTGTGTAACACAAAAAGGTATCATCACAAATATAATTTTAGGATGTACTTTATCCTAGACATTAATCTTAGAATATAGAAATAATACAAAAACAATTTTAGTTGAAAAAATACATGAATATCTTAGACATGTATCTTAGAATATAAAAATGATTTACAGATGAAGTTTTAAGTATCGCCTCATTTTAGTAAAGAATTGAAAATTATTTTTTTAGTTGTAGAAATGTGTTGTTATTATGTCACAATAGCATTGAATGGTTTCTTGAAAATATGACAGCCAAAAGGCTGCATTACATTCAGTTTACATGAAACACGTAGCAATTTAAAAACAATTTTTTCATGATGGAAACAAGAATAGATTGAAAAGATAAAGATATATGTAACAAAAACTATGAATAACCTGATATTCCGAAAGTCATCATATTACATGTAAGCTGTCAACTCTTTCTTATGGTGGTTGCTCTTTCTGCAAAGCTTCTGCTGAATTTTGGAACAAACTACCTTTAAATGTCAAAAACTGTCAGACTGTTTACCAATTCAAAACTTGTCTTAAGACACATTTATTCAAAATTGCTTTTGATGATTAACTTACTCTGTTCACATTGATGTATATTGATGTATATATATATATACATCAATGTGAACCGAGTAAGTTAATTAATGTGTAGGTTTATTTGCATTTTCTTTTTGTTTTGTTTAATATGTAATTGTTTATCATTGTATTTTGTTTGTTATAGCGCTTAAAGACTTTGGTGGTAAGTGCTTTATAAGCACCATTATTATTATTATTATTATTATTATTATTGTGTAACTTTGTAATTTTATAATTCTCCAACCGTAAACAGTCATCGAATCGCCATCATAAAGCAGCACATTTCCTGGATGAAGAAGCAGAGGTGTCTGAGGATGAAGAGTGCTCGTCTGACGAAGATGACTCGGATCTTGATAACTCCTTGGAAGGCTTCATTAATAATGCTTCTCAATCCAGCCAAACAACATGCCCACATGGTCAGTCAGTCAGTCATCCTTCAACTTCACAATCACACCTATTAAGAGAGACTGGTACCAGACCAATAAAACAGTTAGATTTAAAGGGATTGGGTAACTTTGTCTCTGATTCTGAAACAAAATCTTTGATTTAGCTCATGCTGCAATGATAATTATATACCTTTAGGTCAGTCAGCAATCCCATGACTTTTACAAGCCGATCGCCTGTCTGATTATCAAGATATTTATGATTAGATCAAAATCAAATTTTGCCTTTTCCTAACGGTTTTCATAACACTACAGTCTATCGGGAAAAACAAGTATGGTAAATCTGGTCACTCAAAGATTTTTACTTTGTTGAGGCACTTGTTGATCAATTTGAAGCGCAATTTTGTTATGGCTTCAATATTACACCATATCACAGACACTGATAACATCTCAGATTTAACATTGTTAAACGATGCCTTTAACTTCACAATCACACTGCCTAAAAGAGACTCATATCAGACTGAAAAAACAGTTGGATTACCCGAATGGCCAAGGTATTGTTTGTCGCTTTTGAATCTTGCGTAGAGTCAGTTTGGTGGTGTGACCAATGTAATTGCTTAACAGTCACAGCAGTTTGTGTTTTCTGTCAAGGGGTCTTTTTATCATCTACTTAGAGCCAGAATTGTTTTAATTCAAATAATTAGACATGAATTAAACACCATTCTGGTTCTAAACAGAAAATTTGTACTTGGTAAGTTTCATGTGATATCACATACGACTTTGTTTACTTTCCTTTGAACTTAACATGGGTACTTTTTATGCCTCCGCCACCGAAGGTGGTGCCGGAGGCATCATGTTTTCGGGTTGTCCGTCCGTACGTCCGTACGTCCGTCCCGTTTGACCGTTATCACAATATCTCAAGAACCATTTAAGATTTTAACTTAAGACTCGGGAATAGTATTTATCACCATAGGAAGACGATCTGATTAGATTTTGGAGTACGTAGGTCAAAGGTCACAGGTCACAGAGGTCAACTTATGAAATTCCTTGTATTGAGTTTGTTAGCGCGATATCTCAAGAACCATTTGAGATTTAAACTTCAAACTTAAGGATAGTATGTATCACCATAGGAAGACGATCTGATTAGATTTTGGAGCACGTATGTCAAAGGTCAAGGGTCACAGAGGTCAACTTATGAAATTCCATACATTGAGATTGTTATCATGATATCTCAAGAACCACTGGAGATTTAAACTTCAAACTGAGTGATAGTGTGTATCACTATAGGAAAACAATCTGATTACATTTTGGAGCACGTAGGTCAAAGGTCAAGGGTCACAGAGGTCAACTTATGAAATTCCATACATTGAGATTGTTATCATGATATCTCAAGAACCACTGGAGATTTAAACTCCAAACTTGTTTAAATTGCTCTATGGCGGAGGCATCATTTTCGACTGCGCGCAGTCAAAATTCCATCTAGTTTTTACCAGCATTGATTCATTTTTATAGAAAGAAATTTAATTTAACTTCTTGATCATGAAACTTTCATGGGGTTCTTTATTTTCTTATTGCTTTGAATTCAACATAATTCCTTAAGTTCTTGTATTTGCAGATATGCATGCCATGTATATGAAATCAGTGAGAAGCCCCCCAGTACCAGGTCCAGGCAGCCGCTTCAAGATGGCGCACCGTCATTCCCCAGACATGAATGTCTTCTCTCAGGTGCCGCATCAAGATTCCACTTACATGGAGGACAGCTTCGTAGTCCAGGGTGGGGAGGAGGAGGAGGAGGACCAAGGAATGAGGGAAGACATCAGCTTGGTTACTATGGACAACACCATCAATCTGGACAACATCATTGATGGAGGATCTAGGAGGAGAGGAGGAAGGAGATTAAGGAGCAGGGTCGGGGAGAGCAAGGCAGCGAGGATATTGAGGGCAGGAAGGGCAGCTGTGTTAAAGTCGGACTCATCGCATTCTGATGTGGAAGAGGCAGCAGAAGACGATGATTTGATGGACTGGGAAATAGATTTAGATTTCGAAGATTGTAGAAAGAACCAGAGGAAAAACCACTCAAATCACCCAGCTTTAGCAAAAGGAAGACAGCTTGGGGATCACAAGATGTTGGTAAAGGGGATCGTATCCTCAAAACCTTCTACTGGTGATTGGATTAGCAAGCCTAAAACAGATACACAACCGTTTGAAGTTAATTCCAAGGATGTGCATGCTGTAAGGGAAAAGATTAAGTCACCACTTAAGACGAACTATGCTTTGATGAATTCTGAACGGATCAAAGAGGGCTCTGTTGATCCAGACAAAGGATTATCGATATCAAAACCCTGCACCTTTATTCCCCCTCGACCGGCTGCACCCAGCAGTAGCTCCTCGATTGATTCCCCCCAAACTCTGGCTCAGAGGGAAAAGGAGGAGAGACTGAGACGACAGAAACAGAAACAAGCAGATTTCCTGCAGAAGTTGCAGCAGAAGCGAGCACAGTCGTCATCTCAAACGGCGGCAAACATCAGCCCTCACCAAAGAACGTTATCATTGTCATCTTGGAGTCGCAAGAAGGAGGAAGGCATGGGTAAAACGACCACGACTAATCATCCAATGTCTCATGCAAGTCCTGGTTCAAACACAAGATGTGCCCTTCCAAACTCTGAGGGATTTAAAGTCACTGATTCGTCGGGAGAGGGCAGTTTAAGTATGAAAAGTGAAGCAGCAAGCAAGGATGCAAGCACCACTATCACGAACAGAAACACTGACTCAAGGCTGGATAGGAGTACACCTGCAGTCTCAGCATCCAACAAAATCAATCACAATCTAACCATGATGGATAATACAGTAGCCAATGCCACAATGTCTACGACCGCTGTGAACAGTTCAGCTCTTAGCAGCCCTCGAGTGAGTACGGTACATATGATTTTAACTATTTTAATGATTAGTTTGATGGGATCTAATTTTGAATGAAATAATAACAATGTTACTTATGATAATGTAAGCATGTAAAATCTTACAGTAGGCTTTACGGTTGCACCATATGAGAGAGAGGGGTTCGGATCGGGGAGTCCAGAAAAGGACTGTCGGTAATCTTTCGTAACTTCTTAACTGAGCTTCCTTTTGGTCATATTAATAGTAAAATTGAGATTTAGGTTTAGTATAGTGTTGATAGAAAATGGTGGTAGAACAAAGTTAGGAATTGATAAGATGCTGGAAAATAAGGATCAAGTCAAGAAACGATGGATATATTTGTGAATTGTACTCAGCACCAACACAAACTAAAAAATGCAACTTGATAGCATAGGGAAGAAGAGGGTTAGTGAAAAATAAAACAGAGTAGAAGAAAAAGGAGGGAGATGCCTCCTAGATTCATTCACATTCACTGAGAGTCACATGTAATTAAAAAAAAAACAGTTTGAGATTAAAATTGTTGTAAAAGGAAATTGAAGTTATGATTTGTTTAGTTCACAGCTGTCTCAATTTATTTCCCATTTTAGTCATCAGTTGGTCAAGTGCCTCTGGTCATCCTAGTGGATAGTAAGGAGTTGTCCAGTGCCCCTCACATAGTATCTACCTTGACCATTACCCATGGACTCAATCCTATTGTTAGTCAGCTCCAGGGGTGTGATTATGTAACCAGTACCCGCATGGGGGTGGAGAAACGCACCCTAAGTGGTAAGTTATTGTTGTCTCATATTTTTAAAACATCTTCATACATTCATCATCATTACAAAAAGAAATTAATGTTGATAACTACGTAATTTTTTATTTTGTTTTGTGGTACAATAGAAAATATCCATCCTTGAATAACATCATATTCGAGTGTACTAAAGAATAGAAAATAGATTTCATCATTATTTTGTTTCCTAAGACTTCTGTATCCGATTAGTTTGAATCTATACTACAGAATTAAAGTTGTCGTTGTTGATTCCATTCTTTAACTTTACTAGTAATATATTCATTTTCCATTTCATTTACTTTGAGTTTACTTTGCATTTTGCTATATAATTTTATTTTATCTCTCTTTCTCCCTTGGAGACAATTCCTTTTAGTCACATTTTTGTTATATCATTCATTGCTCATTTCATTGGAACTAGATAGCATCATCTACAGCCTTTTATAGTAGAAAAGGTAATAAGATAATTTCAGGAAAGCATTGGTTTTTGGGGCTTCTTTCACTTTTTGTTTTCTTTTTAAAGCCCCACTGTCCTACTTGTAACTACTTGCTCCCTCTATATAGAAAACTTCCCAAATTGGTGCCTGTTGGTCCCCCATGATCCTCTTTTTCTTATGTTAGTTGAGAGCTGAGTCAAAGAGATAGCCACCTGTCAGTGACCTCGCTGTGTGGTCTAACCCCTTCTGGCCCAGTAGTATTGACGATCTTTAAAAGACTGTTTTTCAATATAATAATTGTTTCTGTACTGTATTGATGATTCCAGAATTTGCCAATGGAGCTAACAAGCAGAAGCTTCTAGACAGAGTGCGTCATATGTGTGAGCTCTTTGACAGACCTACTCTTATCATTGAGAAGGACAGAGATAAAAACAGAGATAAGAGACAACCACCAAAGACATTGTAAGTATAGGCCTGCCTTCATCAGCTTGAGATTGCCAAATGGCCTGCTATTTCTGATTTGGGAAATAATCCTACTTGACCTCGAAACTTGAAACACATGCTCGAGAACTTAGCTTCAGATATTTTGCTCAGCGTTCGCGCATAGTGCAAGTCTTCGGGCTGGTGAAGACGCACCGGACAAATAGCGGGATATTTTGCAAACTAGCCCAAGATATCTTGGGATGATTATCTCGACCAAATATCCCGCTAACTTCGGGCTGATGAAGCGGCAAATTAACTGGATAATTTGCAATCAAGATAGTTCAAATAGCAGGATATTTGGCAATCTTGAGCTGATGAAGCCAGGCCTTTTGAGAACAGGTTAGGGTCATTTGAATGGTAATTCCAATCTGAAAACAAATTGATTTTAAACTGAAATATCAGAGATATGAACTTTAAATTTTCAAATCTCTATAAATAGTTATCTGGAAATAGGACAATGGTACAGCTTGATACAAGTAGATTAATTTATGCTTTTATTCAATCAGTCACTGTTTGTACATGTTGCCATGCGGCTTATGATTTCGACATCAATAAAGAGTAATGAGCATATTACAATCCACCAATATTACCTCTAAGATGTTCTCCAGGGGGGTGTTTCACAAAGATCCTAAGTTGAACTTATCTGTAAGTTGGACTTAACAATTATGGAAAGCTGTTGGCATCTTTGGCAATATTTTTTTTAAGTCAATTTAAAAGGCATAAAATGTTGATTCAAATCATTCATATTTTCTATTATCATGTTCTTGACGTGGTATTTATTAAAAGTTTAAAATACTTGAACTTTTGCTGTTGAATATATTTTATTTTAAGGCTAAAAAATGGCTCTCCATAATGTTTAAGTCTAACTTAGAGTGGAGTTCGAATTAGGACCTTTGTGAAACACCCCCCTGAATACTGATTCTGATAATGTTATCTTGTGTTGCTACAGAATCAGAACCAAATATTTGGATTCGACGTTGGCTGCCCTGACCAAGACCCATGTCAAGATACTCTTCTCAGATTCAACAGGTGAATTGCTCTTTACTTTCAAGGAATTGTTATGCTTTAGTAGTTCCTTCATTAGACTTTCTGTTGGAAGGTTTGCAGCTTTAAAGCCCCTCTGCACTAGTTTCACATGGAGGGATTAGACCTCCCTGCAAGGTCACTGGCAGGAGGTTATCTCATCAAATCAGCTCTCAATTAACATAAGAAAAAGGGCATCATGGGGGATCAACAGGTACCTCTTTGGCATTGTTGGCTGTATAGAGGGCGCACGTAGCTATAAGTTGTGCAGTGGGGCTTTAATCCTTGCCTGACACTAACATTTTGTGGTGAAATGCGACTCTATATTTGTCACTCTCCATCCAGTTGTAAAGTTGTGCTGCATCCATTTTTACATGCATTTTTTTTAAAACATCATGCATGAATTCAAATTTTCACCTTAAAAAAAATAACTCACCTGTTTTTCTCCTAGAACAAATTTGTATAGTCCACTGTACTATATAGGAAATGGTTAGGAAACGTTTAGATTAGAGTTTTATCTATTGAGCTTTATCTATTGAATGGTAGAGAGATTTTTCTGATAGCCAGAATTAACACTTCTACTTTTACAATGAGTTATTGCCTTTGTGACTCCCTACACACAATATGGCGTCAAGAGCCTTATTTCTTTCTTTTATATAAATGTATCTCTGCAGAAGAGACTGCTCGAATCTTGGCAGACTTGACAAAGATTGAGAGCAGAAAAGGAGCTGAAATTCCAGTCATCTCGGATATGGATTCTACCTCAGAACAGGTGAAAACATCAGATTAGTCGAATAATTACTGGAACTGTTAATTGCGGGAAAATATAAAACCTTTGATTCTGAAGAAAATAAATAATCAATCAGGCCCCCACCTAATGCTGAAGAACAAACTGTTTCCAGCGTGCTTATCTTATGTGACTTTCATTATTGTTGGGTTTTTATGTGGCATCAAAAGTTTGAAACTGTATGATATCTAGTAATATTTTTCATATGAGAACGTTTCATGACGAAACTTTTTCAGGTAATAATATACTATAATTGTCTTTTAATTGTAAGTGAAAAAAAATGAGAAAGTTCCCAAATAATTGTTCACTTTTACCAATTCTCATATTGACCTTAAAATGGGTAATATTGTTGAAGGTTGATGAAAAAAAACTGCCTAATTTTTGTATGAAAAGTTGCTTGTCATATTCCTCCTACTATACTAATCCTCTTACATGCAACAAATCCTGAAAAATTTCTCAAATCACAAAGATGTTTATGGTTTTCTTTGAAGGCGTCAATGAGTAGTTCCCTCTAACAGTAAATTCTCCCAACCAAGTTTTGAATTACCGGTATCCAAAGCGTTTTTCCGTGAAAATAAGACATAAAACAGGCCTTTAAAAATCTTTCAACACTCAATGTTTGTGATGGTATAAGTTCCAAAGAGCCAATTTATGGCTTCATAACCTAAATAAAATGCAATTATAATAGTATAGTTGGGAGAATTAAGGAATCGATCAGACCAGTTTTTCCCAATTTCTATCATTAATTAATGGTCTTTTTCACTCAAAATTACAGATTATCTTTAATTGTACATCTAGCATTGAAGTCACTACCTTAGCCCCTTTTTCTTTCATCTAAACTATGTTACCAAGTCCCTTTAATTGTACATCTAGCATTGAAGTCACTACCTTAGCCCCATTTTCTTTCATCTAAACAATGTTACCAAGTCCCTTTAATTGTACATCTAGCATTGAAGTCACTACCTTAGCACCATTTTCTCTGATCTGAAGAATGTTACCAAGTCTCTGTAATTCTCCTTTTGTTCCTCTTCGTCCCTCCAAGGTCTTGAAGTTCTACCAGTCTGTCCCTGGAGTGAGCTATGTAACGGCACTCAGCCTCATGCGTCATTATCCATCCGTTGCAGAGCTCCTGTCAACGTATGTATTTCAAATATTAGGCTTTAAAGTGACTCTGTAACATTGCCTCAGATTCTGTAAACAAAATACTGGATTTAGCTCATGCTGCAAGCATAATTATAAACCTTTAGGTGAGCCAGGAATCCCATGACTTTTACAAGCCGATCGCATGTCGAGTATCAAGATATTTATGATTGGATATCGAAATTTCATTTTTTGTTTTCCTAAAGGTTTTTATAATACTACAGTCTATTGGGGAAAATGAGTATGGTAAAACTGGTCACCCAAAGATTTTTACATTTTTGAGGCACTTCATGATCATTTTGAAGCGCAATTTTTTTAAGGGCTTCAATATTACATCATGTCATAGACACTGATAACACGTAGGACCATGCATCTCAGATTTAACATTGTTAAATGATGCCTTAAATGCTTATATTCTGAAAATGATGTTATATTTTATGTAAGCAAACTTAAAGTCTTTGGCTGTTGTCTGCATAATACTGGCTTAGTTAAGGGTAAAAACCGGTAGTGGTGAAATTGTGGTTCAAGGGTTTTGGGTGCAAAATATCCATTTAATATTGTTTAAATATTGCCTTCAGTGGTTTAGATGGCAATCATTCAACCTAAATTCGCAAAAAAGCAGAAATATATGCCCAAATGTTTAATGTTGAAGTGCATTCGCGATATCTATCCAGACCGGATCGATATGATAATTTATAATAATAATAATAATAATAATAATAGCCTAATAGTCCACTCCAAATTTTATTAAACCGAAACGGAAATAATTTACCAAATATATCAATTAGTAGGCAGTTTCCTGGCAAAATTTGTATCATTACGTATTAGTCAACACATATTCTTTCACATGATTGGTTAGAGCTTCCATTTCATTTTTTATAAGGGGGACGTTTCCAAAACTGGTCAATAACTTTGAAGTTAAAAGAGACATCTGCACAAGCACCAAAGTTGAATGTTACTTTTGGCAATTTCACTTGTAGCCTAATAACTTCTTGCAATGATAGCTCTCACCCTAAATGTTTGACAAAATAAAACCTGCTGCACTTATGGCTTGAGTGTATGTCAGAACACCGTTTGAAGCACTATTGTTCCAAAGGGCATTGCTCACAAAATTTGACTTGTTTGAGTTCATTACATCTCCATGCAATATGGATCCTTGGGAGTGTTTCACAAAGACTAAGATTAACTTTAAGTTGAACCTAACTATGGCAGGCCGTTCATGCCACTGTTTGCTCTCACCATTGCGATGTTTAGATAACATTTTCCTTCCATAATGAATTATCAAAAATTGTAAATTCTGTAGATTTGTGACCATGATTTGTAAGTCCATTGAGAGACCAATGCCAGGAAATGGTGAGGAGCAAACAGTGGCATGAACGGCCTGCCATAGTTGAGTCCAACTAAAAGTCGATCTTAGTTTTTGTGAAACGCTCTCCTTATTTGGTATGTTATATTTGTCTTGTATGATAGGTGTGCACCCGTCTTGCAGTCAAGGATTAAAGTATCGTCCGTTCGAGCAAAACAGATCATGACCTACATCAACCACTGCTTCGACGAGCAGATGACAGGGTCAAGGTGACCTTTGACCTTTAAATTACGAGCATGGCTGTGGATAGCCTGATATTTGAACTCATTCTTATGTTAAAGCTTATCTGTACTAGTTCGTAGGAGGGATTAGACCACCCTGCAAGGTCACTGGACAGGTGGTTATCTCATCAACTCAGCTCTCAGTTAACATAAGAAAAAGAGGATCATGGGGGACCAATGTTCACCGATTACGCATTTGTTATATAGAGGGCGAAAGTAGCTACAAGTAGTGCAGTTGGGCTTTAAGTCATAGCAGTTGTGGGTGAGCTTGCCTGAAAGTCTGAGATTTTCGTTGGGAGTAGCATTTCTTGAAAGTCAGAGAGTTTAAAAATTACCTCATCAGAAAATTATAACAAAAATCATAGCCTGGCGCAGATAATAATTGCAATAGTGAAGAGAAGAAGCAATGAACGTGTGAAGAACATGGAATCATGTCTTTGAAGTAAATCCGTACAGTACAATTTGTTTCAAGCAATTAAATGTAATGTTTGAAGGGAACTAATAACATGGAATTCATATATCTACAGCTAGTATGTTTAAAATCATCAACAGCAACAACAACATTAGAAGAAGAAAAAAAAAATCAGCATTTTATACCCATAACAGAGGAGGCGCGATAGCTCAGTTGGGATAACAGTGGTCTCGTATTCCGGTGACCTTGGTTTGAAACCAAGTCAATACGCTAGTGCCCTTTGGTAAGGCATTAATCCTCATTTCCAGGTCCCTCGAAGTGAACCTAAAGCCGTCGGTCCTCTGGTTGCTTACTAATAATCATTTATGCTTTTTTAGCAGTCAAGTAAAATAACCACCACTAAACTAACAGGTATTAAAAGGAATATTTATAAGAAAATAACGGAAAATGTAAAAAAGATATACTCTCAGAATAACATTTTGACTTTGTTTTTATGCACCTATGGGTGAGGCAAGCAGTTGAATCACAAGTTTTACCTTCTTCTGTTCGTAAACATGCAATTTCTCTTGCTATTGCAGGAGCTTGTTTTGTTTTATGAAGCAATATTTTTGATGTACATGTATCATACCGTCGTGAAACTAAAAACATCAAGAGCAAAATCATTTTGGATGATGGTCCCCTTTAATGGGTCATCCTTTCGGTATGTTAGAAAAACATAGTGATTATTATGTAGTATGTGAAAAAGAGGATGTGCCTTCATTTAATTTATTTATTTATTAACATTTATTTCCTTCTCAACGGTACAATATAAAACACAATGTATATATCAATTATATATGTAATAATGATTTCAACATAGAGTATACAGTAAATAATTCAGATAACAGAAAGAGGCGAAAACCCGAAAAGCAAAGCTTGAGTTGGGAACGCCTATAATAAGTTAACACAGTTACTGAGAGAACATTATAGATATTATTATGCAATTACATATTGTATAACACAATGTTGATAGGAAAGAAAAAATAGTAAATGGAAGAAAAACTGAAAAGAGAATTAAGTATAGGAAGGCATGTTCACTTATAAAGGGAAAGTTAACTCAATTACATACTCCAAGCCCTCCAGGGCTGTCTTGGGCTGTGTATGTGCCTACGATTACAATTAGGAGATATTGGCCATAATGAATATTCACATTATCAAATTTCTTTTTATCTTAAACGATTGCAGTAATCAGTCAAATCTTCTGGTAAAATTGATTACCTGACATGGTATGATAGATAGATACCATAGTCAAAATGAAAGTGCATAAGTAAAGCCCTTAGTAAACTCATGCTATGAATGCTTGAATAAATATGAATGTGTGAGATGATATACATTTAAACACTTAAGCATTGGTAGCAACTACTGCACTTTAATTCATATGAACTCATCATGGTAACAAATTTATAAAATGTCATGTGGCTATATTTTTAGCCAATGCATTTGTCTTATTTGTATTTTTTTTTTCTTCCAATTATGTCTTCATATGTCATCAGGTTTATGTGCTACAGAAAGAATGTGCAATTTTCATATTAGTGTCAAAGTATGATTTATACACGTATGTAAAGCAATAAAAGCAAAGGCTTATAATAACAAAAGATTCATTCTCTGACTTGAAAACTATACATGTATTTTGTTTTGTATATAGTGAAATTGATGTTTTTTATGAGTCTTCATATAGCTTGATATGTACGCAGTTTGGCAACTTCAATTCAATTCAATTTTATCTCGTCCAATAATGTCATGGAAACTCATTGTGGGATTTTACATATTGCGTCTGACATTAAAATCATGTATTAAAAGACATCAAAAGCATGACATTGAAATAGGAAATACATTCAAAATCGGTGGAAAATATCGACACAATCCACAAATATACATAGTAAAAAGGCCCCAAGATTTACAACATAACCTTAGTACACAGTTCCCCAATCCCTGCAACCCTCCCAGAAACTCGTCCCAAGCTGGTGCATGCCGAAGAGACATAGAGAGAGACAGAGACAGTGAGAAATGACGAGAGACAAAGAGAGCGAGAGAGAGGAAGATATGTAGAGAGAAACAGAGAGAGAGAGAGATAAACAGAGAGAGTGGAAGGGAAGGATCGAGACGGGGGCAGAGAAGGAACCCAAACCCACTTGGTTCGGTTGGACATAATGTGGTGCTTGTTATATATATAACCGTCTTGGTTTAAAGCTTATACAGGCTTAGCAAATAACTTTTTGAAAGAAATGTGTCAAGGTGTGTCTAATGGGAACCGAAAATTTGTGAGATTGACTCTGCTCTTGCTTATGCATGATGGCAGAAAACAAGTAGGGCTGCTATGACAAAAAGTCAGATAAAATTGTATGAAAATATTCCAACCTCTAGTAAATATATTATAAAGAGGTAGATAAGTAGGCCTTGGACAGACTTACAAATCTTTTTTTCATGAACATCAAGATGATATGGACAAAGGAAACCAGACAAAGCAGAAACAAAATATAATTATGACATTGATATCTTTTGCGTAGAACTTTCCAGGATGTGTTGGGTCTGTGCACAGTCAACAACAAGAAAATAAAGATTTCCTTTACCTTATTTTATTTATTTGATCATTGAAAGTACAAAAATGATTGTATCAGTTTGCCTCTGCTTTACCTTTATGCATGGATCTTTGCACCCCCTCTCTCTCTCTCTCTCCCTCATCTCTTTCTCTCTCTTATCTCTCTCTCTCTCTCTCTATCTCTCTCTGCCCCCCCCCCCCCCCACCGGGGTCCATTCACTGTTCATAAGGACCGTTATTCATGAGGACCTCTATTCATAAGGACCACTATTTTGTATAATGAATAGCGACCCTCATTTCGTATTATGAATAGCGACCCTCTTCTTCTACTATGAATAGCGACCCTCTACTCCTATTATGAATAGCGACCCTCTTCTATTAATAATGACCCTTATGAATAGCGGCCCTCATTTTGCATTATGAATAGCGACCCTTGTTTCGTATTGTGAATAACGACCCTCGTTTCGTATTATGAATAGCGACCCTCATTTCTATAGCGAACCTCTACTCCTATTATGAATAGCGACCCTCATTTCGTATTATGAATAGCGACTTTCTCGTGATTTCATGAATAGCGACCCTCATTTCGTATTAAGAATAGTGACCCCCTACTCCTATTATGAATAGCGAACCTCATTTTGTGTTATGAATAGCGACCCTCATTTCGTATTATGAATAGCGACCCTCTACTTCTATTATGAATAGCGACCCTCATTTCGTATTATGAATATCGACCTTCATTTTGTTTTATGAATAGCGACCCCCTACTCCTATTATGAATAGCGACCCTCTTCTTCTATTATGAATAGCAACCCTCTACTCCTATTATGAATAGCGACCCTCTTCTATTAATAATGACCCTTATGAATAATGACCCTTATGAATAGCGACCCTCGTTTCGTATTATTAATAGCGACCCTCATTTCCTATTATGAATAGCGACCCTCATTTCCTATTATGAATAGCAACCCTCTAGTCCTATTATGAATAGCGACCATCATTTCTTATTATGAATAGGGACCCTCAGTTCGTATTATGAATAGCAACCCTCTAGTCCTATCATGAATAGCGACCTCTTCTACTATTATGAATAGCGACCCCCACTCACTATTATGAATAGCGACCCTCTTCTCCTATTATGAATAGCGACCCTCTACTCCTATTATGAATAGCGACCCTCTTCTACTATTATGAATAGCGACCCCCACTCACTATTATGAATAGCGACCCTCTTTTTCTATTATGAATAGCGACCCTCTACTCCTATTATGAATAGCGACCCTCTTCCCCTATTATGAATAGCGACCCTCTTCATTGATTATGAATAATGACCCTTATGAATAGCGACCCTCATTTCGTATTATGAATAGCGACCCTCTCGTCGTATTATGAATAGCGACCCTCTTTCTGTGTTATGAATAGCGACCCTCTTTCTGTGTTATGAATACCGACCATTGCGTAATATTATGAATAGGGACCCTTATGAATAACGACCCCGATTTCGTATTATGAATAGCGACCCTCTTCTAATATTATGAATACCGACCCTCTCCTTTGATTATGAATAGCGGTCCTTATGAATAATGACCTTTATGAATAATGACCCTTTTCTCAAATTATGAAAAGCGGACCTTATGAATAGCGGTCCTTATGAATAGCGGACCTTATGAATAGCGAACCTTATGAACAGCGGTCCTTATGAATAGCGACATTGACCCCCCCCCCCACTAACCCCCACCCCTATTTCCCTTGCCCCTCTTTTCTTTTAATTGGAAGTGAAAAGACTTTCTCTACCTCTCCCTCTCCCGTCAGTTTGCCTCTGCTTTACCTTTATACATGGATTCTCTGCATCCTATCTTCATCTCTCTCCCTCATCTCTCTCTCTCTCTCTCTCTCTCCCCCCCCTCTCTCTCTCTCTCTCTCTGTCTCTCCCTTTCTCCCTCTATCTGTCATACCCACCCCCCCCCCCCCGGCCCCACCAACTCCCCTCACTTCCCTAGCCCCTCTTTTCTTATCTTTCTGATTTTCTCTACCTCTCCCTCTCCCGTCAGTTTTACCTGTATGCATGGAGTCTCTGCACCCCATCTTTATCTCTCTCTCTCTCTCTCTCTTTCTCTCTCTCTCTCTCTCTCTCTCTCCCTCTCTCTCTCCCTCTCCCTCTATCTGTCCCACACCTACCCCCATTAACTTTCCTCACTTCTTTATCCCCTCTTTTGTAATCTTTCTGACTTTCTCTACCTCTCCCTCTCCTGTTGTTGTTCCATGCTCTCCCTCCCACTCTCTGCCAATTGTCGCAAGAGCAAGTGTTGTACAATGAAATAAAAGAGCTTGCGAATTTTCAAATAAATTTTTGACAAGCTCCAAAAAATTAAGTGACTGGCAATGAATGAATTTGGTAGCTTTATTCAACATTGAAAGTCGTAACTATAGTGAAATAGTGCCATCTACGGTTTTCGGTTTTTGTTTTTGTTTTATTTGTTTGTTTTTCTGTTTTATCTCTTCGACTTCTTCTCAAAAATACATGACTGGATTTTGACCAAACTTGGTGGAAATCATCGTTAGGCAAGTGAGATCTAAATTTGTTCAAATAAGGTGCCTACCCACAATGGAAGCCTGGGACAGCCCCCCCCCCCCCAAAAAAAAAAAAGTTCCTCAAGGTTTGTAATTGCTCATTTTCTTCTTCTTCTTGAAAACCCATGGTTGGAGTATAACCAAAATGTTTAGGAATCACCTGCAGGAAACGAAGATTTAGAGTTGTTCAAGTAGGATATATGCCCCCAAGGGGGCTCGGGGCAATTGATTCATCCTTACCTTTAATATCACAAAAGACAGGCTTTTTTTGTTCTTTCTGACGGAATATCAGCTTACAAGCCCAACTATTAGTTTCCCTATTTCGCGCAATATTATTTATTTAGAGTACACCGAATACTATAGATTTGCATCATTTTTACTTAGCTGTATTAAGAAGTTGTATTTTAATTTTCTTATTTCAATGTTTTGTTTGACCATGGAGGCTAAAAAGAATGCACCTTCTCCCCCTTTCTCTCTCTCTCTCTCTCTCTCTCTCTCTCTCTCTCCCTCTCTCCCTCTCTCTCTCTCTATATATAAGCAGATGTTATCGGCTACGAAGTCACATGTAAAAACTTAAGTCTAACGAACACGATCGCGACGACTTTCAAAATAAAACAAAGTTAAACAATTTCAACTTTTGAAATGTGCAAACATGACATATTCCGAATATTTTCTTATACACATCTACACAGGTGCGCCTTCTCCTGTGTAGATGTGTATAAGAAATGTATTAATGTTTTAATGCTACGTTTATCCACCTTGTTTCTTATTTTGCCTTTTAAAGATCTCTCCTCTCTCTATATATCTCTCTTCTCTCTCTCCTCTCTCCTCTCTCTTTCTATACCTCACTCTCTCCCTGTCTCTCTTCTCTCTCTTTCTACCTTCCTCTCTCTTCCTTCTCTCTCCCTCACTTCCCCTCCGTATCTCCCCTCCCCTCTCTTTCCCTCTACCCTCTTTCTTTTTCTTTCTACCCTTCCCTTTCTTGTCCCTCTCTTTCTCTCTCACCACTTCTTCTTCTCTCTCTCTCTCTCTCTCTCTCTCTCTCTCTTTAGTCATTTCTCTTCTTTTCGATTTCTTTGTCATATCTCGCCTTGGTCTAGCCACATCTAGCCAGCCGTTGTTATTGTATTGTAACCATATTTTCATGTGTGTGAAACAATATGTTCTTCTTAAGTATTTTGTTGGTTCAATTTTGTTTACACTATTCAATTTCATTGTAAATCAACCATTATGAGTTCCTGAACTTTACGTGTAGATGTTTTTAAACCGAATAAATAAATAAATAAATAAAATATATGTCTAAAAGCAATAGATCAGGGTGTTGTAATTGCCCTTGAGTTGATTTCCTGAATTGATTTGCTATGAAAAATAATCGCAGGACTTTCAAGATAATATTCAGGGACGATTTCAATACCATGTTTTTATACCTTATATCCCATTTAAATCGTGCTCAGGATTTTCAATCAGTCATCGTAAGTTTCCCACATTTCAATATAGGTCATGGAAAAGGCTATTGAAATTTGCCGTAGTTTGAATTCTTGAAAGCCTGCGATCCTTTTATATAAGCAAATTTTGCCCCTTTTAATGTTACTCCCGGTACGATTTTCTAAGATTTGGATTTAATGCTCTATTTGGGAGGAAAATTATGTAGATCCGAATTTATTCTTTCACATGCCTGTCATGTCAAAGCATTAACCGGTTTATGGAATCATTACTGATTTTATCTTCAGATTGATTCCGAAAAATCTGGTTTTATCTGTTGTTCATGATATTTCATTAATGCGGACTCCTGGGGTATATTCAACCAGAGGCGGCGCCACAGAGGGAGGGGGGCAGGGAGCAGCCGCCCCCTATCATTTTCAAAAAAAGGAAGAGGAAGAGAAGGAGTAAGAGGAAAAGGAAAAGGAGAATGAAAAGGAAAGGAGAAGAAAAGAAAAGGAAGGGGAAGAGAAGGAGGAAGGCAAGGAGAACTTACTCCCGGTACGATTTTCTAAGATTTGGATTTAATGCTCTATTTGGGAGGAAAATTATGTAGATCCGGATTTATTCTTTCACATGCCTTTACATGTCAAAGCATTAATCGGTTTATGGAATCATTACTGATTTTATCATCAGATTGATTCCGAAAAATCTGGTTTTATCTGTTGATACTTAATTCATGATATTTCATTAATGCGGACTCCTGAGGTATATTCAACCAGGGGCGGCGCCACAGAGGGGGGGGGGGCACCCCCTTTGGGATTATACCAATGGCTGACCTAAAAAAGTTGACCTTACCCCCCCCCTCCAACGGAGCAAAATGTCAAATTTTAAAATTTCGAGACCAAAAAAAAAAAAAGTGTCCTCTTACCCCCCCCCCCCCGCTTATTCAGCGGCTGACTGAGTCGTTGCGAAATTTTCGGCCCGATTTAAAAATGTTAACCCCCCCTCCCCCTTGAAAAAAATCCTGCGTACGCGCCTGATTCGCATAATACCGGCGGTTTAAACATTGGTTGACGACGAAGAACCTTTCACCAACTGAAGACAAACAAAATCAAATTAATCCCTTGTAGGCCTATCTCCTAAACCTCATGGCTGATTGTTCAATGGAAACGAAATATTCATTTACAACAACCCTTCTGAAAATTACGGTGACCTTCGCACTTTCTAGTGTTTCTGTTGAGCGTTCATTTAGTGATCTTCGATTGCTGAAAACGTACTTGAGATCAACAATGACCCAAGAACGTTTGTCTTCACTTCTGGTCATCAATTTAAATAGAGATATTGATATAGATATAAACAAAGGGATTGACGCATGCATTTGCCCGAAAACATCCCCGTAAATTGGAGTTCCTTTTGATCAAAAGTCAAAAGTAGTGCCTGTTCGTGATGCTGTAATTAGCATTTCCCATCATTAAAGGTTAAAGCCAACCTACATTTTAATTGAGCTTGTTCTTAATTGTTAGTTGAACTTAAGACTGTTTTTCTTTTTAGTTTGGGAAAAAGTATGCACCAAATCGAGTCATTCATTATGCATCAATTTCAAAACAAATCTTCAACTTCGCCCCCCCCCCCCCCCCCAGCAAAATAACCTGATGTGCACACGCTGGCCATCGTATTATCAACGTTAGTCATTTCAATCAATCAATGAATTGTGTAATTCTAATTTGAATGCAGAGTTAGTATGAAAGAACATACACGAACCTGCTTATCAAAGGCACGTGTTCAATTATTTGAATTGAATTGTCAACACGAGCAGAAAAAAGGAAGAATACTGATAAGGCAATGTTCTAATATTGCGATAGACTGTATGTCGTGGAGCGCATGATTATTCACCCGATCCAGTTATAATCAAGGCTTCTATTGTAGATGGGTGGACCGATATTGATTCTCTAAATGATTTATAGGTTATAAGGGGGGCTGAACCAGGCGCACCGGAACCGGCTCATTTTTTTAAAGGTTATTATTATTATTATCATCCTTATTATTATTACCATTATGATTGTTACTATTATTGTTATCATTTTATTCATTTTTAATTTTTTTTTTAGGGTGGGGACAAACACTCTGGGGGCCACATCTCGAATGGATTTTCGACAAATTTAGCTATGAAATGTAGCTACGCTTACTAGCTTCATGTAGCACACCCCCAGAAAAAAACACAGTTTCTCCTTTCATACATAATACTTGATATTTCAAAAGAATAATGTTTCAAATAAAAAATAAATAATAATGCTTTCCGAGGGTTAGTAAAAAGTGTGGTCCAATCCCCTTCATTACAGAGAAATATCGCTCTTCTCGCTCTACCTTCTTCAGGAGCACTTATGGAAGACATGACTTGTATTGATAAGAAATATTTTATCTTATAAAAATGCGACGGAGTGTAGCGACCGAGTGAGAAAAATAGCACTTTGGAGCACGTAAAAGCTCATCCATATTGCAAAATTTGTATATAATTTTATTTTCTTCTATAGCGAGCCGAACGGGGACAATATGAGTTTAATAGCCTTCTCCCCGTTTACAGAGGAAAGCTCTACCCGCACACTCCGGGCATAATTATAAAGCGTTTCTACTGGATAGTTTTAAAGTCCCTATGAGGGATTTTGCAATACCTCATCCCTCAACAAAATGAAAGTATGCGCACAATTTAAGATAACAAAATGTGCTGTTTTCTCTCTATGAGTGAAAAACGAAGGGAAATTGATGAGGGACAAACATAGCATCTATTAAAGTCTTCTGGATTAAGTACGACTTAATTCTGCGAATACATGGCCCTGAGAGTGTGCTGCTTACCCTCTCTCTAAAAAAAAGGTAAATTTTCACTCCATTTTCACTTTCTTGGGAGTGACGTCCGTGATCAATTGTTTAGGAGTGAATATCGATTGATTTTAGAGTGAAAAGAGTGAATGTTCACTCTATTTTCACTACATTTTCACTCTTCAGAGGAGTTACGTCCGTGATCACTCGATTTTGTTTAGAGAGTAGAGTGTTGATATGTTTTGTCCATTGCATACAAGGATCCCGGACAAAGGATCGATACTAATGGATTCTGGATTAAGTACAACTTAATTCTGCGAATACATGCAGTGCCCGGGTAGAGTTGGCTGTTTAGAGTATTGATATGTTTTGTCCATTTCATACGAGGATCGAGAATAATGTACATGTAGATCTATATGATTTCACTTATAGCACATGCGTATTATTCTTTGAAAAACATGAAGAACTTTACTAAACAATATACAGCTAATTTAGATAGATCACATTATACATTCAATGATTAAAGTAATATCTGTATTTTTACTTCTTCAATTGATGTACTTGTAAAGAAGATGCAGTGACTCCATTCCGGTATCACTCATTTACCTTTCTTTCAACCCCCCTTTACTTTTCCTTAATCTCTCTATGGGGGTTCTTTTTACCATGTTGACGAAATATTTTATTAACAGCCAATTCAGCAAGGCTACCACATGGTGTTACCGAAAGCATGGCTATTCGACCGTGGATATGGAGAGAGTTAAAGGTAAAGACCAGTATTGGAAACGCCCCAATTTCAAAAAATGAAATGGAAGCTCTCATTACCAATCATGTGAAAGAATATGTTTTGACTAATACATGATGATAACAAATTTGCCGGGAAATCGCCTACTAATTCATATATTTGGTAAATTTGTTTCTCTCATGGTCTGTGAGAGATATAGGGTAGTCCCATATACATCTTTCTGTGTATAGTGCTTGTAACTTTACGAAGAATGGGCCAAATTTCTTATCATTTTGATGATTCCAGAACCTTGTAGATGCTAGATGATCAACCTTTTCTGATCGATTCCACAACGTTTCTTTCACAATGCAATCGCATGACCATAACTGGTCTTTACCTTTAAGTATAATGAGAGAGATAGACAAGAGCGGAGAAGTGAGGAAGAGCTATAGGCTAACAACTGACCGAATGTTGTTAATAAAAATAATAATTGAGAATGGAACTCAAAGAAGAAGGAGGCATAATTAAAAAAGAAAAATCATTACCATGCTTATAGTGTAATTAGTTTGAAATAGATATCATGAAGAGAAATCAACCAATCAATCAATCAATCAATCTTGTGAGTAATGTGCCGCGGGATTCCATATCCTCAAACTGCTGGCGAACAGAGCAACAAGACCAAGCTCTGTAATTATTAGGATCTTTGTCCAGTAGTGCCGTACGTGTTTGTGCCATCGAACTGGATCGACCAAATCAATTGATTCATAATATGTATATGCAATATTTTTTCCCGTAACATGAGAGTAATTTTAATAGTTTCATACTATTAATTAAATGTAATGTAACTGTTATTGTATAATTGTTTTAAATGGGGGCACGCTACAAGAGTCCTATCTCGCACCCCGGGGCAACGTTTCTGACACGGCCGGTTGTAGCAACTACTCCGAAGATCAATCTTGATCTAAGGAGACACGAACGAATGAGTCAATCAATAAAAAAGAGAGAAATGAATAGGGGAGAAGAAAAATAGATCGACAGAACGAAATCGAATATATTTGAAATCTATTCCTTCCTCCTTTGGCTACGTTGTTTTTTTGTGAACGAAAAGGAAGACTTCTCCCGTATTGGGCCGATGTGATTCGTCAAAAGTTTACAAAAGGGGCGTGGTAATTATTGCTTCCAATATCAACGAGCAAAGTCAACATCCGATTCTGACGTGAATTTTGGATTGCGCAACACATTCAATCAAGAGTGTACGAGCTAGAGCTACAGAACACTTTGCACTGTTTACGCAGGAGGAAACGGCGCTGCGTATCGATCATGCTGTACGTGCAACGTCCACCGGAACGTCAGGTCGCATCGCCAAATTATTGTAGGATTATTTAAAATTTGAAGGAGAGGAGGGCATGTGGGAACGAACGTCTTTCTATTAATGGTATGTACCAGTATCTATTTGAGCTAAATCTTCTAAGCTTAACGTTCTGCCTCTTGAATCATATAAATGTATATAAATTAAAAGATTAAGGAGTTGGTGTTGGGAAGCAGCACCAGGGGTCTTGTGCGAGAGTGCGAGGGTAGATGTCGGGGGTTGAGCCGCTAGCCGGGAGTGTGCAGATGTGAATGTCACCTGTAGCTACCACTGGTTTTTGTCGAACGCGTGATAAATGTATCTACACAATGCTTGATGTGATGAGACAGTGAGTATGGTGGGTGAATACAGGAAGCTGTGTTTTTCGTGGGTGACCAGGATTGGCATAATTAACACACTGCTCCCCCGGCCATGATCCCCTTTTTCTTCTGTTGACTGAGAACTGATTTAATGAGATAACCACCTTTCAGTGACTGTGCAGGGAGGTCTAATCCCCCTGGCCAAACTAGTGCAGACAGGCTTTAACTGCACTTTATGTTGTGCATTTAATTTTTTACATAAAGAACATGATTTTTGAAAATCCCCATAGACAATTATAGTATGATATTCATATGCATTTTTATCAATATATTATGTTCTTTTTTTGCTTGAATTACTGGGTTTTGCATTTATTTTGATGTGTGTCCAGACAGCATAGTATCTGGACAGTTGATTTAAAAACAGCAATTTGAAGAAGTTTACAAGCAATATTTTATCAAACTTCTACAACTTTTGTTGGACAACATTCTAAAGGACAAATATTCAAGCCGGCTAGTGCTATTTGATGAAAACTTTCGTTAAATCTTAAGGCAAAAATGAAGGCTTTTATTTGTAAAGTGAGATAACCACCTGTCAGTGACCATGCAGGGAGGTCTAATCCCTCCTGGCCAATGCGTGCAGAGGGGCTTTAAGAAAGTCCAAGAAATGTGGAAGTCTGAAGGGGAAACATATTAAATTAAAATTCACTGTATTAGTTTTCACTATACCCAGTGATGCCACTGACTCACGCAATTAGCAGATCCACTATGAAAAAAAAAAGAAAAAAATGTTCAAAGCAGATTGTTTCCTAATTATCCTTCCATTATGATCTTTGATGTTAGCTTTCAAAAAGTTTGCAAACAACATACAGCAAAATTAAAAGAAGAGTATTAAAATATGTTTAGCGTCAGAACATCTGTGGGGTGAGAGATCCATCTGCCCAGGGGTGAATGCCTATGCTAGGTCACAAGGTTAAAGGGTTCATTTGGAGAAAGGAAGATCAGTAGGTTTTTCAATCATTCTTTATACAAATGAAAGAACTGGTAGGCTCTTTGGAAGATAGTCAGGTTTTGATCATTGGTGCATAGACCTACACCGGAGTGTTGGCTCAGTCAGTAGAGCGTCCGCCTCACAACCGGGAGGTCGTGGGTTCGAACCCCGGCCGCGTCATACCAAAAGACGTTAAAAGATGGGAGTTGCTGCTACCTTGTTTGGCGTTTAACAGTAAGGGATAGAGCAACGTCGATCTGGTGCTGCTCAGTGGCTGCCGGGCTCACGATCAATTAGGCAAAAAGAATTTCCGTTTCGGTTTAATAAAATTAAAAGATTATTGTTATTATTATTATTATTATTATGATTGGTGGAATGGGAGGGGGGCATAGCTGCACAGGAGAATGCAAAATGCAATCTAACATACATCCCTGTAAACATGAAATGTGCAAAGTTGTATTTATGTACCCTCTACCCAGCAAAAATAGAAGACTAAGAACACACCTGAAAATTTGATAACCTTGATTTGATTTGACTTGTTAGAAAGTTTCGCATCTATTCTTTATGATCTACAGTGTAGATTCATGTTTCTATTTCTTTAAACAAGATCAAGAAGTTTACTCTCTTGATAATTTGGTGATGCTGATCAAGAGAGAGAATGATATTAACTCTAAAAAGGAAGTTGAGAGTAAGATGAGAACTAAAGAGAGAGAGAGAGAGAGATGTACAAAAAGGGAGAAGAAAAAAACAATAGTAAAATGAGATGGATTGTTACATCTGACATTCAATCCAATCGCTAAATCAATCCAGCTAAATCAATCATTGTTCATATCCCTCAAGATCATGTGACTGAATAACTCTCGAAGTCCAAGAATATATACTTCATGAGACTATACTCGCCCCTTGCAGATCAAATGTGTTACATAGAACGTGGCCATTTCACAGCACGTTGTGTTATGTTACTTTAGATATTACATGGATTAAGAAAAAGAGACGGAAATTTATTTCATGGTGCCATCAAGTTAACGAATCGATATCACAAATTAACTAGGAAATTGTTCTGTGATATTTAAACTTAAAGCCCCAAAGCACTACTTATGGCTACTTGCGCCCTCTATATAATAGCAAACAATGACTAATCGGTGACCATTGGTCCCCCATGGTCCCCTTTTTCGTATGTTAATTGAGAGCTGATTTGATGAGATAACCACCTGTCAGTGACCCTGCAGGGAGGTCTAATCCCCTTGGCCAAACTAGTGCAAACGGGCAGAAAATCATGCATTTCTTTGTTCAGAATATTTAATTTCAGGTGGATTAAAAACTGCTCATCCCTCTGTGTTTTGGCCTTTTGGGTATATGAAGTAAATGTGGAGACAAAGATAATAGGAAGTAGAAGAGATCATGGGGAAGAAGTTTGAAAAGAACAGATAGAGGTTGATACTTGATAAATTGTTTTAAAATAACCCTTAGCAATACATTTCAGTCAAGTCAATGACGTGCTCATCTAGTAAGTAAACACTAGTTTCTTAGAACTATTTAATATCTTCTTCCATGCCACAGCAACATGGATTAACAATGACCACTTTGACCAAGAAAGATAAAGTAGGATATTTTTGTCTTACTCACTATTTATTCAAAGGCCTAGATGACTCAAAATAGCTGCAAATATACCCTTTTAAAGCATGACATTTATTTTTACTGATATGCCTATGGTCACGTGGCTAGCATTTAAAGATAATATTGAGTCATGCCATTTCATTTTGAACATTTTTCTAGAAGTTACTTTGAATAGTTCCATATGTAGACTTAGTAAATAGGAGTAAATGTGTATTTTCAAGTTTTGGAATTAGCAAAATGGTCACAGGTTGCCTAAATCTGGCGTTCAAAAGCACAACAAAGAAATGCACTGGACTGAGATTTGCTACATGTTGGTATGGGATTGCTCTAACAACAAAAGTGGCATCAGAATTCGATCCAAGCGTACTACTCTTTCTAGACACTATTAAATATAAGAGCTTTCCAAGAGCATTTTATGGAACCTTGCTGCTAGAGAGTAAAGGTGTATTCACAAATTCTTATTTACCAGATAATCACCATTACCCAATTGCTTCGAGTTTCCTTTACAGCATAATTGCTGGCAAAACTCCACTTTACCTGATGCTTCTATCAAGGAGTCTATATATATAGGTAGGGCATTATTTCATATGGGATTACCATTAAAGCGATTATTTCCCAACTGAACATCCTCTTACATCCTTGATTAGCTTATTGACCTTGACCATGGCCTCATGTCAAACCTAATCAGGATTTTGTCAGAAACCATGCACAAACTAAGGAAAGCTGCATTTACGTACACACTGCAAGCAATAATTGTTTTTCCCTCACATTCTGGTGTTTCGTTGAAAGTTGCTAAGTTGCTATGTATTTATTTATTTATTTATTTGTTTATTTATTTGTGATATTTAGACAGGCTGGTGACTGATTATCACCAATAATGGTAGTCTTTCATGAGACCCTGTTTTTAAATTAAGTGTCTGCCCTATACAACAAAGAAGACAAAACAAGCATGCATGGCAGTTGTCAACGAAACGGAGTTTGTCGATTGTTGCTACGGCAGGCAGCCAATGAAAACAAATTTTTATAATAAAATTATGGAAATGCAAGCATTGATTTAAACAAACAGATCACTTTGTTATTCCTTGCTCATTTGTCCTGATTTACATGTAGGTGTCATATGAAAGGGCAGAAAATGAACTTTCTAGGAATGTGATCTTCTCTTCGAAATACAGATACCGTTCGCCAAATGACTTTTTGGTACCCTTTCTTCAAATTATTTTTAATCACTCATGCGTGAAATATGCATCACATTAGTTGCATCAAATGAAAAGGGAGGATCGAAGCTTTAAAAATATGTGTCATTTATTAATTATGATTAGTTACGATAAACATAGATAATTCTCGGTTTTGTTTTTCTGGGACGCACTGTATATGGGGGGGGGGGGGGTGTATAATTATGTGTATCATTTTTCTGCCTTGTACTGTTTAGACAGTAGCCTAGGCTTGAATGTTTCTTTTTACATGCTTTCACTTTTTTATTTCAAATAAATAAGATTTGGAATTTAAAAAATGTTAAGCTTTGCTAAAAAATTGTCACATTCTTGTGGTTTTTGATAGCCAGATGGCTAAGAGAGAAGAGGAAAACAAAGAGAAGGGACCCCCCCCCCCCAAAAAAAAGGTTTATTTTAGGGAGCATGGTGAAGGTCAAGGGTCGATAGAGTGGGCCTCATGAAATGAACGATGTTGTGAACATTCTTCAGCACATCCATGGGAATATGACCTTGACTTCTTATAAATAGCTCTCTTTTGTACCTGATCAATAAGGTTTTTTTTTTCTTCATTTTGTGTGGGAGAAAAAATGTTGTGGCTATCATGGGAAGAGTGGTACTCACTCTATGCCATTCAGACTACATTGCATCACAGCAGAGTCTCTATTAATATTGACAGTTTGACACCTGGATATTTTGTGAAACACCTATTCTAGGTAAGTAATGTAGAAAGAGAGATAGAGAGATAGGGAAATAGAGAGAGAGAGAGAGAGAGAGAGAGAGAGAGAGAATGATAGAGAGATTGATAAATTTAGAGAAAGAGAAATAAAGAGAAAGAAAGAAAGAGATAGAAATAAAGAGAGAGAGAGAGAGAAATAGAGAGAAAGAAAGAAAGAGAGAGAGAGAGAGAGAGGGAGGGAGAGGGGGGGGGGTAGTGGATGACAAGATAAAGAAAATAGAGGACGAAAAGGGAGAGAAAATGGATAAATAAGAGAGAGGAGAGGACATACTGTAGAGAGCAATGCAGGTAACAAGAGAAATAGAGGGCCATGGAGAGAGAAAGAGGGAGAGAGAGAGTAAGAGAATGAGAAATTTAGAGAGTAGAGAAATGGTAGAAAGAGAGAGAGAGAGAGAGAGAGAGAGAGAGAAAGAGAGAGAGAGGTGTGAACCACATAATGCGGTGATGGTGCATGAGCAGGTACTTATTATTGGCTATAATTCTTAGGCCAAAATGGCATGTTACTTTAAATGTAGTGTAAACTTTTGAGATTACCTGTCTTTCCAGTTGCCTGGAAATTTTAATCCTGTCAGGAATGATATATGGAAAATTTCATCTCAGAACATATAACAATTGTGGTATATTGAGACATGTAATAAAAAATCATGTGGTTTTGTAAAACTTTCAAGTCTAACTCAGATAGGATTATAACATGAAAACCTCCAATGATCTTCTTATTTACTACTAAATCTAATAAATTATGATAGGATTTATCTGCATTCAGATGCTTACAATTAATTTTCTTTTTGAAGTTTCTTAATTATTCCTTGTCATAAAATTGATATCTTTATTGACTATGGGTATAGATCTTTATTGCATTTGACATTTTAATTGATTTATATATGATCAGATTCCAAGAGTGCTAGCTACCCAACTATTCTGTCTGACTTTCATTGACATTAAAGATTTATTCATTCTGATACAGCTTCTTTGATTTGTTTATTCTGTGCAGGTTCATCAACCTAGCATTGTACTGGGGTTGTTGATGAAGATACACACATAGCGGGATTGTTATTGACAGACGAGTGCTTGCCACGCAAGTCGGCAGTCGTTTGAGTCGAGTGCAAGTGGGATTAATAATTTTCTCTCATTCTGTCACAGGCCTGTGAAGCCATACTCTGGAAATGTCGACCCTTCAGTTTCTGTCGAAGCCAAAACTTGTCATGGTTTACCGTCATTGGCTGGGAGTAAGCATGTGTCTGCACTTCCTGGGCTTATTTTGTGACTCAGTCAAAAGAAGGATCCTCAATGTTTGATGTCATTTACGAGCTAAAGTTTTGTTGAGGTGTCAGTGGCTTGCAGCTGCTGCTTTTGCTTCTGAATGCGCCTACTTATGCCAGCTACCTGCCAATGATTTTGTGTCAAGCCTTTACAGGTTGAACGATTTTATGTGCCAATATGGCTGTGCTAGGAATATCACCCTTTGTTTTCATACTCCTGTGGAACCTTTTAACTCATTTTGTAGACACTGGACAAGGTTTGGAAGTAATCGAGCGGGAATATGAAATACCAGTTAGTGCAGATACCTTCATTCATGGACCAGCAACCAACCAGGGTATGTATGATTACCTAGAAATAGGCCAGAGAGCGGACAGGATCGAAAGTCGCACTTTGGTAACGTTTGAAATCAGCCAGTTTATGTTGGATAGCCAGTGGGGCCGGAATGAGCAATATCCAAACATAAACCAGAGCACTATCCTCCAGTCCTCCCTCAGACTGAGCTGCAGCAACATTGAAAACGCAGCTAGTACCGATCCTTTTAATCGTAACTTTCAGGACACCCTGCATGTTGGCCGTCTCTTGGTCCCATGGGAGGAGGCCGTGGCGACTTCGGTTGTCCGTGCAAGCGGTGGTCGGTCGTGGGAAGTGGAAAATGTAGGGATGGACGGAAGTGATGCAACGCCATCCGTTGCAAGTGCCTTTGTGGATATCACTTATGCAGCCTGCCAGGAAGGTACGTCTGTCTCGTTTGATATCACGGATACGCTCTTATCTTGGATCAACGGGACCAGTCCTAACTACGGTCTTGTGATTTGGGCCGAGGATGCCATGCTTAGCAGGAGGTGGATCAAGTTTGCATCCAGCGGGAGCCATGATGTTGCCAACCATCCTGTACTCACAGTCTCCATTCAGGATACACTTATCTCAACACCAGGTGAGTCTTCATTTCAGAGCAATGTATAAGCCATAAAGTCAGATAACTTTTTGTTCTCACAATGCATAACATCCTTATTTCTTTCACAATGGAAAAAATTGTTAGGCTTTCAAGGTCATAATTAACACATATTCTGGTAAGAGCTATGAAGGAGAAGTAAACCCAAACTACATCGATTGGTGGTCTGAATGGGCATTAATAACTTTCCTACATACCCCTATGAGCCACATATGAAAGATTCTCCAAAAGAGAGAAAATTTGTAAAATTTGAGGGCTTTGAGTAGCTGAATTGGCATATGTGTACATAGCCATATATAGTCAAAATGCTCATGTACCTGTTACAGCTCGTTTTATGCATGTTATTACCAAAGAAAAAAGATGTCGGTCAGTCATTCAATAGTGTTTGACAGTGAAGTCTAGAAGGTAAACGGGTTCCTTGCATAATTTGAATACTAGCTAGGACACTGCTAATGTTTAAATTTCACAGATCAGACGAACATTACATATTCATAATTCCTGCAAACATCTACAGAATTTGATGTTGGCTGCAAAAGGGACATACAGAACTACCAAGTATCACGCATTAGGCGTGACATCACGCATTTCGAGTGTCTGAAAACGCTCTCACGCACAATGTGCGCGCTAGATTTTGGAAAAAAACGCTATACCTTATACGTGTGTTATACCTTCTCCCGCGCGCTCGCGCGCCGGAACATGAAAATGTCACGCTTTGCTGATCTTTGAACTTGGCGTCTCTGGACATAGTACCTTTAAAGGTACTATGTCCCTTTTGCAGCCAACCTCAAATTCTGTAGAACTTTGCAGGAATTATGAATATGTCATGTATGTCCTATCTGTGAAATTTAAACGTTAGCAGTGTCCTCATATTCAAATTATGCAAGGAAACCCGTTTACTTGCTAGACTTCACTGTCAGACATTATTGAGTGACTGACTGGCTTTTTTCTTCTTTGGTAATAACATACATGAAAAGAGTTGTAAAGGGTACATGAGCATTTGTCTACATCAATAACCCACTTCTTGTGATGGCCAAGATTAAACTGATTGAATCTTTGCGCAGCATAAAACGTATGACCATTTTGTACAATTGTCTAAAAATCAAGACTATTACTTTTGGGCTCTATAGCCCTAAAGTCGATTTGACAACTAATAGTCATTATTTTCCCACTTGAAGACATTTTCAAGCCCCACCTTTTTTAGGGAAGTTCTAAATAAGTATTATCTTTCAAATGCAGTTGGAATTTAACTTTTTTTGGCCTGCAAATGGGACATAGTACCTTTAAGTACCCATCTTTCTACAAAATTATGTACCTACATTTTGGGAGCAATTATGAAAAAATGCACCTTCTAATATCACTTTTCCATAGACGCCTGTACAAAATTTGGTTAACAATTTTTTTCCCTACAGGTTACAAAAATGGATTTAGCTCCTTTTGGAATTAAACTTAATGCTCATAGGTGCATTTCAGTATGTCAGGGTCGGTGACAAACAGGAATTAAAGATAGCTGTCAACTAGTTTGTATTTCCTGAGGAGATAAGTGATTTTGACTTGATCTTTTAATTAGGCCACTCTTCAGGATTTCAACAGTGCTAATCAGAGTTTGAAGTGTCAAGTACACAGTGGATTCATCACGATCCACAGACTTGCGTCAAACTTTAAGTTCTCTCAAATTGATCACCTTGGTAACTAGGTCAAGTCCTGACTAAATTTTCTCCCAGGAGCTAATATGAAATGCATCCACATTGTTGGTTCACACTCCATCATCCCTCTCATAAAAGTGTCCACTAGTTGGCTTTGTGGATCAGGTGCGGATTAACGACGACAAATCCAGGGGGGGGGGGGGGGGTTCTCAGATTTGGTTTAGACGGGGTGTGCTGTTGAAGCCTCAATACCCCTACCCATTTTTAAGGGTCATTTTGGGGGGATTTTTCTTGAAGTAAGGCCCATTTTTCACAATTTTTGTTAAAAATAGGACCTGTTTAGGAATTTTTTGTGAAAAAATGACCCATTAGAGCGGCATACCCCCGTTTGTCTTAATACTCCCCCTCCCCCTCTTCCGGGCAACAAATGAACGATTTCAATGTGAAATATGACTGCACTTTTTTGTCGATATCCCCAAAAAATGCTTTTTACATCTTTTGAAATAGGATGTTGAGAAATTAAGAAAGTGTCAGAAACATCACCTATTAGCATAATAGCAATAAGTGTGCATTGAAACAAGTGTTGATACCAGCTTGAATATGACATTTTGGGGTCTGGATCTAGTGCAGCTTCCTCGGTCTACATTCAACCCATGTAGGCTTGAAGTATGAAAGTGGCATTGGAGTGTGTAAATCAGCTTCACCCAAATCCCAGTCAAGTGATTCATATAATTTGCCAACTTGGTAATTACTTATGAAAGAGATGATCTAAGGGTAAGCCAAAGAGCTATGAAGGATTTCTTGCAAACATGTATATCATTCAATAATGTGAGGTATCTCATGAAATGTTTCATGTTGAGAGCTATATATCATGGATTTGGAAACATCTGGACTCTTTTCTGGAGGGGAAAAGGGCAATTAAGATAAATAAATCCTTCAAATCCATGTTACACACATTTCTACATATTTGTTGTAATGATTTGCAAAATGATTTTAAGAAGAACCATGCTATAAAGCATTTGGAGTAGCTATTTTAGCAAATTGTCAAAGAACTGCTTCAATGTTGATAGGCTTTTTCATTGATTTTAAGAATCTGTAATATATAGTACAATTATCTCTTTAACAGTTTTGATATAAAATCTCTGTAGTTTTAGGATTCACCTCCAGGCATTTTTGATCTAGGTATCCCCCTCTCACTGTCATGTAATGCTTTTCTCAGTGACAAATTTAAAATTGACAATATTTAAAACCCAAGTGGCATGCCTTAATACTCAACACCAAAAATTTGTCCTCTCTTGTATAATGATGAGCTTTTTTTTTGCTTGTCAATAAGATGATGACTGCCCTTTCTACCTGATCAGAAAATTGTTCTGACTTTTTCCATCTCCTTAAACTCCTGTCACCCCCCTTCCCTGGCTGTACTTACATATTAAGTTGTGACGTTTTGAATAGACATGAAAGTGTTTTCTTTTGGTATTTAATTTTTTTTCTCCCAAGTTGCCATTAAGGAAATTAAGGCAAGTGCATCCATTGCAATTACTTACTTACAATTAAGTTAAATCTTCTATTGAGAATCTCTTTTGAGATGTAAGCATACAGGTTGAATAATAATGGACGCTTTCAAGTGCACTGAAGACTTTAATTCCCATCTAGTCTCTTCATTATGGTTAATATTCTACCAGCTACTCAAAGTTCCAAGCCCACGCATCCATGAAAGTGTTTAGCACTAAGGCGACAAACCACTTATTGCAACCTCTCAAAAAAAAGAAAATGATGTAGGCGAAACGTTTTTATTGTCTGTCGATCAAGGATCATAAAGTTAAAGTTCATATTCCGCCTTGTTTCACAGTGTGTTAGCTTCTGTCAAATAATAATTGTCTTTAACATGTAGTCACTAAAATGGACATATTTCTCATAAACTTATACCCCATCAATTTGAAAACCAGTGTATTTGGCTCTTGTTTTTCTCTGTCATGAGCAATTTGAAAGGAAGTAGGGTTTTGAAGTTGGAGTAGAACATAATATGGCAGTTGATAATTAGTAGTTTTATTTGTTCTTCTTTGTTTTCTTGTGTTTTGTTCATTTCTTCCCTCTCAAAATTAGTTGGAAATTAGAAAATGATTTTATTGTTGCAGTTGTGAACTGTGAACTCGTAACTTTCATTATTTTGTTTTCTTGTTCTTCAAATTTCGAACATGTCTTCTGTAGTTCTCCTGTATTTTATTGTATTCCTACAATGCCACATCAAAGAAAATTTAAGTTTCCTTCTTTATAAGGATAACACTTACATGTAGTTTAAAGCCACTCTAAAGTGTTGGGAGCCCCAAATTTGCAAACAAATTCACTTAAATTGTATCACAATGTGAAAGAGGCTGTCATTTAAGACACACTTCTGCGAAGATCCCCCCCCCCCCAACAAAAAAAAGTTTTTTGAAGACAAGGATGTCTATTGATAAAAGAATACATAATTTGGGTTTTCTGTTGTACATGTACATAGAAAATTAAAATTTTGTATTCTTTCATCAATGTTCGACTTCAAACACATTTGTTTTGTAAATCCATGCAGAAATGTGTCTTAAATAACATCCTCTTTCACATTATGATGCAATTTAAGTGAAATTTTGCCATCAGATTGTTGGGGCTCCCAACACTTTATAGGGGCTTTAAACCGTATATCATAAAAACGATAAATTCCAGATTCAGCAAGTTTATATAGGAAAGTTTTGTAAACTGCTTGAAAAGATCAAGAATGCGTTTAAAAGATAAATTCTGCATGAAAATGACATACAAAATGAAATACATGTATATTACTTTGTCATTCAAAAGGCGATTGTTTGCAAATGGATTTTGATCTCTCTTAAATTACAAGAACTCTGCATGAGAGCTTACATAGTTTTGAGAATTGTCAAATGAGCGATTTACTTGCTTTGACTGGCATTCAGGAGGAGACATAAACCCAAACATCCAGTCTGCTTACATGAGTTTCCATGGAAACCAAATGGAAATACCAGCTGAGCTACATTTCATGTATGTGATGTTATGCTAGGGTCAGACTCAGAGACCTGTGAAAATGAAAGTGATTTTAATAGGGCAAGATACACAGGATGATAGGAAAATTTTGTATCGTGCTAATGAAATTGTATTTCACAAGAAAATGGCTAAAATTATCAATGAATTGTTTAAATTAGCCAAATGAAAACAAAGTCATGAAAACTTGCTGAAAATGACATTCGTTGAATAGCACAGTAGACTACTTTTCAAATGTATCTACCGGTAGTGACTAGCTGTTACATTCACCTGTTACATATTATACAAATATTGACTGCTTTTAGTGGCCTGGTTAAAACTATTGCCCAAGGTGATCTCAA